ATATTGTTAGATTTGTGTGTGTGTGGGGGGGGGGGGGAGGGGAGGCAAAATTGTCCTTAGTTGAGAACAACTACTTTAGACTTTTAAAGTGTTTTCCTAATTTATTTCTCTCCTTCCTCTTTTTCTTCCTCAGAGTGACCTTCTCTCTGTTGCCAAAGTAATAGTTTCTAAATACAAATTTAATAATGCTCAGCTTGCCCCAGCCTCATATCATTTAAATACTCATCTTTGCCTACACAATAAAGCCTAAAGCACATTAATGTCAAAAGCCTTTAAGGAGTTGGTTTCTACCTAATTGTACCTTCATTCCTCCCCCCTTCTGTTTTTTTTTAAAACATTTTATTGGGATAATTTAAAATATTCAAATCTTAAATATATAGCACAATGACACTGCATATATACGACCATCACAGAGATCAAGATTCAGATTATTTCCCTCACTTCATAAACTTCTCTCATGCCCTTTTTGAGTCAGTAACCCCTGTGCACCTCACCCTGATTCTCAGAGGTTACCACTATTCTGACTTCTACCATAATAGGTTTGTTTTGCTTGTTACTGCACTTAATAATATGGAATCATACAGTACATACTCTTTATCATTGGCTTCTTTCACTTGGCATGTTTTTGCTACTTATCCATATTAATAGTTTTGTATGTCAGTAGTTTTTTAAAAAATTACTGAGTAGTGTTTTGTTATATAAAAATATCATACATTTATCTGTTTTCTTATTGATAGACAGTTTTTTTTAATCCTCACCCAAGGATATTTTTACATTTATATTTGCACAGAGTAGGAGGGAGGGAGGGAGGGAAGGGGTAGAGAGAAAGAGAGAGAGAGAGAGATATGTGAGAGAGACACATCGACTGGCTGCCACCCACACAACCCCAACCGGGGCTGGGGACAAACTGCAACCGAGGTACGTGCCCTTGGCTGGAATCGAACCTGGAACTCTTTGGTCTGCGGGCCAATACTCTAACCATTGAGCCAAACCGGCCAGGGCTAGACAGTTTTTTTTTTTAAACATGTATGAAACAATGTTTATTGAATCTATTTTGGAAACAGACATGAGAGTTCTTGGGTTTGTGAGCTTACTCAGAGTTTAGAGTGATCACTTCCTGTTCTTGAACCTCAACCACAGGAAGATCCTAGTCCAAATAACAAAAACGAATTTTCATTTCACGAAGGGGAGAATCAGTGGTTAAAACACGACAGCTACCATTCCTGCACCGGCTCTGATGGCAAGAATGCTATGAACATCAATAAAATGTTTATAGGTACAGTCTGAAATATTTACTGTACAAACATCAGGTGTGTACATCAAAGGTGAAGTTGTAAGTTGGTTAAGAGTCATCAGCAAAATGAAGTTCACTAGGTCTGGAGTGCCACTCCCCTTGCTCACATATTTAACTGATGACGGCTATTTGCATCAGGGTCATTGACTATATGGAAAAGATTGGTTGTTTACTACTATGAATAATGCTGCTGTGAACCTCTTTTTTGAATTATTTTCTTGTGATAGAATATATAACAAAATTTGCCATTCTAACAATTAAAAAATATATTTTTTTCCTTTATTGGTTTTTAGAGAGAGAGGAACAGAGGAGAGAGAGATAGAAACATTGATGAGAGAGAACATCAATTGGTCACCTCCAGCATGCCCCCCCCCCCCCCCCGACTGGGGATTTGGCCCACAACCTTGGCATTTGCCCTCACCGGGAATCGAATCGGTGACTTCTTGGTGCATGGGATGATGCCCAACCACTGAGCCACACCGGCTGGGCCATTCTAACCATTCTTAAGTATTACAGTTTTATGGCACTAGTTACGTTCACAATATTATATAACCATTTCCACTGTTTTCAAAAATTTTCATTATCCCAAAGGGAAACTGTCTACCTCCTTCTCCCCTCCCAGCCCTTGGTAACCTTTAAGGTACTTTCTGGATCTGAATTTGCCTCTTCTTGATATTTTATATTAGTGGCATTGTAGAATATTTGCCTCTTTGTGTATGGCACATTTTACTGAGCATCATGTTCTCAAGCGTTCATCCATGTGGTAGCGTGTGTCAGAACTTGATTTTTTTTGTGGTTGAGTCATATTCTGTTGTATGGATATGGTGTTTATCCATCTGTTGACGGACACTTGGGTTGTTTTGTACTTACATTGAGAGGTGGGGAACCTTTATTTTGCCAAGGGCTATTTGGATATTTATAACATCATTCTTGGGCCATACAAAATTATTAACTTAAAAATTAGCCTGCTAGCCCAGCCGATGTGGCTTAGTGGATTGAGCATTGTCCCATGGACTGAGAGGTCCTGGTTCAATTTCTGGTCAGTGCACATGCCTGGGTTGCAGGCCCAACCCCCAGTTGGGGGTGTGCAGGAGGCAGCTGATCGATATATCTTTCTCATATCGATGTTTCTCTCTAAAAAAAAAATATCAGTAAAAACATTTGAAAACTTACCTGTTATATTTGGTCAGGCTGATTTGGTGAGGTGTGTGATGTTAGTTAGCTGTTATTGATTTGGAGGGCCTTTTATGGCCAGATGTTCCCCGCCCCTGTTTAGAGTTTTGCATCACATTTAATTTCTTTTTTGCTGCATACATGCTAAACTACATATTATTTGTGTCATGCCTTTTCTTTGTGTTTTTGGACACTTGCTATTACCTTTACCTGTCATGCCTTCTTCCCCTATCATGTTTGACTCTTGAATGCATTTTCCAGGGCTTGGTTCATAAGTTAACCTTTCTAAAGCATTTCTCAGCAGTGCCAGAGTTAACTGTTTTTTCTCTTTGCATGAAGACTTTTGTTATACTGTTCACCAACTCATTGCTATAGTTATTTACTTACATGCATGTTCTCTCCCGTTAGGTTGTAATACCTACTTTAATGTTCTCGGTGCCTAGTCCATCATTATAATAATAAAGACCTTCATTTATTTATTGCTTTTTGAGTCTTAAGTCCTATGATAGTTTTTGTTTTGTTTTTTTAATTTTTTTCCTTTATTGATTATAGAGAGAGAGGAAGTGAGAGGGAGAGAGAGGTAGAAACACCAATGAGAGAGAACATCGATTGGCCGACTCCTGCATGCCCCTCACTGGGGATCGGGCCCACAACCTGGGCATGTGTCCTGACCAGGAATTGAACCGGTGACCTCTTGGTGCATGGGTCGATGTTCAACCACTGAGCCACACTGGCTGGATGATAGTTTCCTTTTATTACTATCTTTGATCCTAAAACAGATCTGCTGTATAGGTACAGTATTGCAAAATTATTTTACAGATAAGGAAACTGATGCTTTGAGAGATTGTATGTAATCTTTCAAGGATTACAGAATTTATCAGTAAAGGTTTATCTGGCTTCAGTCTCTCTCTCTCTTTAAAAGAGTAGTTTATTGATTTTTAGAGAGGGAGAAAGAGAAACATCTATGTGAGAGCGAAACATTGATTGGCTGCCTCCTGCACGCCCACTACTAGGGATCAAGCCCCCAACCCCCAGCATGTGCTCTGAGAATCGAACCACCAACCTTTCTGTCCATGGGATGACACCCAACCAAGTGAGCCATATCGGTCAGGGACAGACTCATACTTAATTTCTATATGGCAAGCCACCTCTTTCTAAAACATGTTTGATTAAATGGATAAACAGTGTTTTGGCCCCTGGCAGATGTTTTACTCAGACTGAACGTCCTACATTTTTAGTGTACTTCTGTTTTCTTTCAATAAAAATGTATTAGCACTGCTGAAGACACAAAAGCTGTTCTTTCCTCAATAGCAATGTCATTATTCCTCTTTCCTCCCTGTGATTGGGAAATTGAACCATTCATCTCTCTTTCCTATAGACTTGTATAGTGGTGAGTGCCTACTGAGAGAGGCACCCTATCATTTTTCTTTATCTAAGTCTGTAATTTAAGGTTAAGTGTATGAAATTCCCTGTCTTTTAGTATTGAGGCTGGCTTACCTTTTCATATTGGCAATCCTCTATGTATCCAAACACATTTAGCCCAATATTCAAAATTAACTGATTGTAAAATGATCCTATTGATATTTCAGGCTATGTACAACTTAGCCAGGTTTTACTTATGAATAGCACAGGAAACATTTAATTGTGGTTCTGTTTTATGTGCTTTTTTATAGTTCTATGGGAAAATACTGACATAATTTATTTGTATGAGAATCAAGATTGAATTCTTGTTTTTGTTTCTTTGTGAAGAATCAAATATATATTGAACATGCATGAATATTTAAACTATTATATATTTTATATATAAACTTATATTTTATACTTTAAAATCAGTCTGCTAATAATTTCAAGCTGTTGTCTATTTTTCAGTTTTCATATAATTGATGTTTTAGACAAATTGATAATTTCAAGAATATGGAAAGACTTTATTTTTTTACATTACCAGTTTTAACCTTGGCAACTTATTTAACCTTTTTGCTTAATGTTTTTGTATGTTAAATTAGGTAAGACTATTTACCTAATTAGGTGGTTGTAAGCATTAAGGTAAATGGACTGTATGAAGCCTTTTTGTGCTTGGCATATTTTAAGAATTTAGTAAGTGTTGTTGGAATTTTTCTCCTTTTTCCGTAGAGCACATTATATTATGATTATTCATCTTATATGTAACCAGGCAGGGTTCTTGGAGATTTTCAACTCAATAATACCTCAATTTTGTATGTTCAGTAGTATTATGTGGTCTAGGAAAATAATTTTTAAAACAAACCATTGGAGCTATTCCAGGAGTTTGCCACTGAAACAAACATAGGGATGCTGTTGTTGTAGTTCATTTGTTTGTCAGAGAAAACTTGAGTAACTATTTTTTATTGTTAATACTCATAATTCTATAATAAACTGACTTTACTTACTGTATTTTTACTCGCCTGAGGCCTTGTTTTGGCCTTAAGAGAATTTCATAATTCTTCAAGGAAAGTGTATTGATTGTTTCATTGGCTTCTGGTCTCTGTCCTTGACTATTTCTATGATTGCCTTGCAGAGCTCTGAGGAACGTGTGTGTAATGATGAAGCTTCTCAGGAAGAGGAGGGGTTTATGGGCATGTCCCCTCTCTTACAGGCCCATCATGCTATGGAAAGAATGGAAGAGTTTGTTTGTAAGGTAAGATGGCAATTTCTTGTCATTATCATGTTATATGACTCGCCCTTCCCAAGCAGAAACCTTTAGAGGGTAGTACTTTACCTTTTGGTTTGCTTTGGGGATAATCTGTGACAAAATGGAGACAAAAGCAATCTCATGACTTTAATCATGTTCAAGGCAATAATATATTTGCCTGCAGGAGCCATGATAAAGTTTTGAGAAAACTAGAACATCCAACTGGGAAACAAGTCTTTCCTAGTATAGGTTATTGATAGTTTAGACAAGGCAGGATGAAACACAATTGGGGGTGGTTAATGCCTGGAGATACTAAAATACCATCTCCAAGTCCCTTGACTCTATTTTGCTCTTGACTTTGATGGCAAGCATACTACTCTTTCTAAGGATTCTATGGGTCATCAGACTACTCTTTAGATAGGAATTGTCTGGTTTTCATACATATCTAGTGTTTTCATTTTAGCTGGTGTATTTTCTGTCTAAGGTTTTCTCCTAATTCATTTTCTGATTCATTACGACCTATTGTGGGGATTTTTTTTCTTTACTAAAATGGTAACGGGAATTGGGATTGCTGGCTTAGAGAAAAATAGGTCAAGGACACTGGTAAATCTATAGCCACTTGATTAATATGATTGATCAGGGCCCTGGCAGGTATGATCTATAGTCAACATAAATCAGTTGTCTATGTGTATATATGTGTGTAAATTCATTTATATATTAAACATTCCTGGAAAAATCTTGATCATTTAGAGAGAAGTTTTTGTGCTCAGCTTTTTCAGGAGTTTTATGAAACCAAGACTTTTCATGCATGTGGTCATAGATCCTGAAAACTAAACGGGTTTTTCTGCATTCACAGTGACACTAGAAATAATTGAGGCAAGTTGACTAAGAATACTATACTTTAGACCAGAGGACAGGAAGAAAACATTATAATTTGAATATAGACACCCCTTCCAAGATGAAGGGATGAGTGGAGAGGTGTTGAGGAGGGTTATAAATATTTATGGGTCTACTTAGAGTCTAGGACATTTTAATCATTGTTTGAAAGTTGGTGGAAAAAAGCAAGCAAAACAATAGATCCAGTCTAGTATTGCTGACTCAGGAGAATTAGTACAGAAGTATACACAAGATATATTTTGTTTTTCTAAAAGCATGTTTGGGCCCTGGCTGGGTGGCTTGGTTGGAGCATCATCCTGTACACCAAAAGGTTGCAGGTTCAATTCCCAATCAGGGCACATACCTAGGTTGTGGGTTTGATTCCTGGTCAGGGTGTGTACGGGAGGCAACCAGTTGATGTTCAGTCTCTCATAGTTGAGTATGTATTTAGTATCTGGGTATTTAGGGATTTTTAATATTTATATTATCAGTGGGTACTGTAGCTAACTTCACTGTCTTTTTGTTCTCTTTCTGAACTAAAAATAAAGAATAAAGCAAATAAAACTTTCAATTTAACAACTAATGGGAGAAATAAATAGGGCTTTTTTTTTTTTTTTTTTTTTTTGCTGCAAACTATGGTTTACTGAAGAAAAATGAATGCAGCACAGAAATGGATAAAGCATTCACTTATCATCCCCTAGCAGTTTGTCTGTGAGAGCAGCAATAAGAGGCCTCCTGTTACATGGTGTTCTCCAGAGCAGCTCTACCCTGCTATTGTGGTGCAACTGACTACACTTGAAAACTGGCCATGTCCAATGACACAATGATTGCTGCTTGGATTGGAAGCAAGTAAATGGAAACAGTTTAAAATGAAGTGTCCTATGGCCTTGCTGGTGTACTTTCCCTTTAGGAAAAGCTTTTCTAATAGAAATAGGGGAAAGAAAATCATTTTAGTCTTTATTAGTATCCAAGTTTGATCTTGGTCTCTTTTTTTGTTTAACTTTTTTTTTCTTTATTTATTTTAGAGAGAGAGAGGAAGGGAGACTGGGGATTTGGCCCACAACCTGGGCATGTGCCCTGATCAGGAATCGAACCGGTGACCTCTTGGTGCATGGGTTGATGCTCAACCACTGAGCTATACTGGCCGGGCTTGGTGTCTTTTTTTTTTCAGCCTTCAATGCTGCTATTTATTAGCATAGCCTGGTCCACGTAGGAATAGGTGTATTGTGGGTAGTTTTTATTTTTTAAATTATATTTTGTGCACTGTGTGGTCTAATATAATCCCAGTGGACCGTTGCTAAATTTGATTTAGGCAGTGTCTTTGTCAAGCTTATAAATAAACATGTTTTCATCTAAACTGTGATCCTGCTTTTTTTTTGCCCCAGACAGTAAAAAAGGATACCTCTTAGGGTTGGCATTTGGCTTGACTCTAAGCCGAGAATGATGAGATTGGATCTGTTGAATATAACACTAATTGCATTATAATTAGTATAGTTCCCTGGCTCAGTTTTGAGACCACTAGAATGTTTGTATAGAAATAGTGGGGGTGGGGGAATCACTCTGACATTTCATGCACATATAACTAGTAAGAAACTCAACATATTATTTCTGACTATAAAAAGGGAGCATTTGATTATTTCATCTCTGGGTGGCAATACAATAGAACTTTTTATGTGGATACAATAGAGCTGTTTCTGCATTGTGAATTGCCTTGAGGATGTAAGGGTTGATGTTTGTCTTCCTCCCAAAGTAAAAACAGAGCAGCAGCATCTTGTAAGGTTAATCTCAACAGTAACTGTCTTTACCAAGTTCAAATCAGATAAAAGAAAGTCATTATCTTGGTGTGTTTCTTTTGCTTTCTCTCTATAAAGTCCTGTGGAAGCTATAGCTACTTTTTAAAATAGTGGTAATATTAGCAATAGACATAAAAACTCTAGTCTTTTGGCATTATTTTACTTCATTGTATGTTAGGAACAAACATCAAATGGTCAGATTGGCATCAGTAACCACAGGGCTATTTCTTTTCTTAAATTTAGAGTTACACAGAGGATCAGTGTTTTATAAACGTCAGTTAAGAAGGATTAAGGAGAGCAGAGAGCAGGAAATGTTGTGGAGTGAAAGGAATGGCCATAGTAGCTGGCAAATAAGCGATACTTTTTCTGCATAGTAGAGAGAGAACCAAGTTTCTATAGCCCAGCCTGAAGCTGACACCCATAGGTAGACCATGTACCTGACATTTTTCCTTACATCTTTCTGGCTAACAGAAGCAAATTAGTTTAGGATTAAGTGATCCTTGTGGTGTGAGCTGTCGGGGCTGAGAGACATTAAAAGAAACAGAGTGCAGAGGTTGACAAACTTTTTATTTTATTTATTATTTCTTTCTTTCTTTCTTTATTTTTTGTGGTACGTGCCCCTAGCAGGAACTGAACCCAGGACTCTCTGGTCCGCAGGCCGACGCTCAAACTGACAAACTTTTTAAAGAGGGGATACCAAACTCCTGACCCCTTTTCCTTTAGAGTTTGATGGGGTGGGACAGTGAGGAACAGGGAGAAAGGAGGGATAAAGGGGCTTGAAAGGCAGTAAGGCCAAACTTCTTTGTTATCTCTCCAGAATGAGGAGGGTGGATTAGTTATTGATTCTCAGACAGGTGATAGCCTCTGGGATGGTTAGGGTTAATACCACCTTTGGGGTGGATGTTGGGGTTTGTTAACTCATATATGAAGTGCTTTGGGTTATTTCATTTGATCCTTATAACTTCCTTATTAAGTAATTGAAGCACTATAATTCTCATAAATGAGGAAACTGAGGCTTGATGATTTTGTAATTAAAACTTGTTCAACTAGTTAATGGCAGACATTTAAGATTTTCTGACTCCTATGCTTTTTCTTTTCTACTTCATCATATTTGCTGCGATAGGAAGAGAAGAGAAAATAAAGGGAGGAAAAGAGATGTTAGCAAAAGGCACAAAAGTATGATTCTGTATAGTTCATCTTTTACCCACAGGAATATTAAGTATAAAAATGGTCATATTTAATATCAGAGGGATTTTTCAGAGGTAGTCTCTTGTGGAGAATAGAGGGGAATCTGTATGGTATGACTTTGGACTCCTCACCCTACTTTTAGCCAGACTGAGACAGAGTTTGAAACCACTCAATAGGGCATGTTCTGTAAGTGCATTTCTTCTTTCCCTTTCCTAAAAAAGCCTCCCATTTTAAAAATATCTTTTTGATCAATCTGTTTTTTAAACATTAAAAAAAAATACATATTTTTATTGATTTTTTTTTTTTTTTTTTTTAGAGAGAGAGGAAGGAAGAGAGAAATAGAAACATTGATGTGAGAGAGAAACATTGATTGGCTGCCTCCTATATATCCCCTACTGGGGATCAAGCCCACACCTGGTCATGTGCCCTAACGGGGAATTGAGCCAGGATTTCTCAGTCCATGGGATGACACTCAGTTCATTGAGTCACACTGGCCGGGCCAGTCTGGTTTTTAAAATCTCAGAATATAGGACATTGTGCATTTTGAATGTGTTTGTCTTTGTAAAAGTAAGTTATTTTTCTCATAAGAAAATGTAAGAGATTATTATTTGGGACTAGTGTTACTAAAGTTACAATTAAAACCCCAGCCTTGGCCCTCTAACCAAAGGTTTGTAGGTTCAATTCCTGGTCAAGAGCATATACCTGGGTTGCAGGTTTGATCCCCGGTCCTGGTCGGGGTGCATTTGAGAGGCAATCAGTCGATGCGTCTCACTCACATCGATGTCCCTCCCTCCCTCCCTTCCACTCTTATCGGAAATTCATTGGAAAAATATCCTCAGGTGAAGATTGACCAAAAACAAAAAAGCCCCAAAGGTATTTGATAATGTTTTTCTTCTAGGTTTGGGAAGGTCGATGGCGAGTAATCCCTCATGATGTACTTCCAGACTGGCTCAAGGATAATGATTACCTTTTACATGGACACCGGCCCCCTATGCCTTCTTTCCGGGCCTGTTTTAAGAGCATTTTCAGAATACACACAGAGACAGGCAACATCTGGACACATCTATTAGGTATGTAATATCAGTGGTATAATGAATTGGTGATTATTTAATTTATTCTTTTTTTTTTCCCATTTATTTGATGGTAAGGGATGGAACTTAAAAATGTATTTGGGGTTTGCCATTTTGTTTTCTGGATTTCCAGTGATGCAGTTTCCCACTGATTTGTGGTTTGCACTGTGATTTTATTATAGCAAGTCATATTTTTCTGTACTGGATTTTCAGGTAGTGTTCGAACCAGGTCAAGAGAAATGTACTATACATAATGTGGTATAATATTTTAATGAACACTGAGAGGAAGAGAGTTACTGAATAGAGAAGTAAGCTAGTTTTTCAGAGTCATTACTTAGAATATTCACAATTACATTTCAATTTGGCTTGAAGTAGAATGTGATGCATGATATTTTTTTCCATCATGATTGTGTATTAAAGAAGGCATAGAATGGTATGGGGGATAACTAAGTAACTACATATAAAAGAATAAAGCTGAACCCTTACCTCACGCCATATACAAAAATTAACTCAAAATGGATAAAGACTTAATCATAAGAACTAAAACTGTAAAATTATTAGGAGAAAACAGATGTAAATCTTTGTGACCTTGGATTAGGTGACACTTTATTAGAATTGACACCTAAGGCATTCACAACCAAAGAAAAAATGGACTAATTGGACTTCATCAAAATTAAAACTTTTGTATGTCAAAGGACATTATCAATAAAGTGAAAAAGTAATTTATAGAATAGGAGATAATATTTGCAAAACATATATCTGATAAAGGTCTAGTAAAGAACTCTTTCAACTAAACGATAGGAAGACAACCCAGTTTAAATAATGAGTAAAGTATCTGAGTAGTAATTTCTTCAAAGAAGATCTACAAATGGCCAACAAACACATGAATAGATGCTCAACATCTTTAGTCATTTTGGGAAATGCAAATAATTTGAAAAATGCAATGAAATACCAAGCCATACTTACTAGAATGGCTGTAATCAAGAAAATGGAAAATAACAAGTCTTGGCAAGGATGTGGAAAAATTAGAACTCACGTGCATTGCTGGCGGGAATATAAAACGGTACAGCCTCTATGGAAAACAGTTTGGCAGTTCTTCAGATAGTTAAACAGAATTACCAGCAATTCTTCTCCTTAGGCATATACTCAAGAGAATTGAAAACATGTTCACAAAAAAATGAGTACATGAATGGTTTTAGCAACATTATGCATAATAACTAAAAAGTGGAAACAGTCTAAAATCTATCAACTGATGAATGGATAAATAAAACGTGGTATATCCACACAATTAAATATTACTTGATATTGATACATTCTACAACATGAGTGAGCCTTGAAAACATGCTAAGTAGAAGAAGCCAGACACAAAAGACCTCATATTATATGATCCATATACATGAAATGCCTAGAATGGGAAAATCCAGAGACAGAAAGTAATTAGTGGCTGTCTGGGGTGGGGATTGGGGAATGAGATATGACTCTTAATAGGTACAAGGCTTCTTTTTAGGGTGATGAAAATATTCTGGAATTTAATAATAGTGATAATTTCATAACCTTGTGAATACAGCAGTCCCCCATTATCCAAGGGGGATACGGTCCAAGACCCCCAGTGGATGCCTGAAACTGCAGATGGGACCAAACCCTACATACACTATGTTTTTTTTTTTCTATATGTACTTATCTATAATAGGTTTAATTTGTAAATTAGGCACAGTAAGAGATTAACAATAATAACTATCAATAAAATAGAGCCACTATAAATAACAATATACTGTAATAAAAGTTATGTGAATGTGCCCTGGTCGGTTTGGCTCAGCGGTTGTTGGAGCGTCGGCCTGCGGTCCAGAGAGACCCGGGTTCGGTTCCCGTTGGGGGCATGTACCTCGGTTGCAGTTTGTCCCCGGGCCTGGTTGGGTCGTGCGGGAGGCAGCCACTCGATGTGTCCCTTTCACATCTATGTTTCTCTCTCTCTCTCTTCCTCCATCTTCCTCCCGCATATCTGAATAAAAAATGGAAAAATGTCCTCGGGTGAGGATAAAAAAAAAAATTATTAAAAGTTATGTGAATGTGGTGTCTGTGTGCTGTGCTGCACCGTGCCCCCCCCACCCCCCCCGCATCTGATAACCAAGATGGCTACTAAGGGACCAGCAGGTGGGAAGTATATATGATGGACAAAGGGATAATTCATGACCTGGGGTCGGATGGCTTGAGATTTCATCACCCTACTTAGAATGGTGTGCAATTCAAAACTTATGGATTGTTTCTTTTCTGGAAATTTTTTTTTTTTTTAATCCTCACTCGAGGACATTTTTCCATTTTTTTGTTCAGATAGAGTGGGAGGGAGGGAGGGAGGGAGGGAAGGAGAGAGAGAGAGAGAGAGACAGACAGACAGACAGACAGACAGACAGATATTGACGTGAAAGACACATCAGCCCTGGCCGGTTTGGCTCAGCAGTTAGAGCATCGGCCTGCGGTCCAGAGAGACCCGGGTTCGGTTCCCGCTAAGGGCATGTACCTCGGTTGCAGTTTGTCCCCGGCCCTGGTTGGGTCGTGCGGGTGGCAACCACTTGATGTGTCCCTTTCACATCAATGTTTCTCCCTCTCTCTCCCTCCCACTCTATCTGAACAAAATATGGAAGAATGTCCTCGGGTGAGGATTTAAAAAAAAATAAAATAAAGAGACACATCAAATGGCTGCCACCTGCACGACTAACCAGGGCCTGGGACAAACTGCAACCAAGGTATGCACTCTTAGTGGGAACCGAACCAGGGTCTCTCTGGACTGCAGGCCGATGCTCTAACCACTGAGCAAAACTGGCCAGGGCTGGAATTTTTTTTTTATCCTCACCCGAGGACATTTTTCTATTTTTTTGTTCAAATAGATTGGGGGGGGGGGCGGAGAGAGAGAGAGAGAGAGAGAGAGAGAGAGAGAAACATAGATGTGAGAGGGAAACACTGAGTGGCTGCCATCCGCATGACCAACCAGGGCCAGGGACAAACTGCAACTGAGGTTCGCGCCCTTAGCAGGAACTGAACCTGGGTCTCTCTGGACTGCAGGTCGACGCTCCAACCGCTGAGCCAAACCGGCCAGGGCTGGAATTTTTTATTTCGTATTTCCAGACCAGTATTGACCATGGGTAACTGAATCGTGAAAAGCGAAAGTGGATAAGGGGGGAACTATTATATACTAAATTGTTTCTGGCCTTACCCCAATTGACTTGCATTTCTTATCACATTTCATTTATACTGTGCCCCCATGTTCCTACCTTGCTAGTATAGTGAGAATAGAACAGAGTATGAAATCAAGTTCATTGCTGACTTCTAACCCCAGGGTCAATGTTTTATTAAATGGATCAAACAGAATCACTTAGCAAATGTTTAAATTCTTAATATCTGTGCCTTTTTGTTAAATGGCCCTTCTCTAAGCAGTAAGAACATGACATCTTACTGTGAAGAACAGTTTAAAAATTGGTTGCAAAATAGCCTAAATAGACATTTTACTGTCCTAATTCTTTTTTTTAAATTCTCACCTGAGGACATTCTTGCATTTATCTTCAGATAGAGCAGAAGGGAGAGATGTAGGAAGAGAGAGAGAGAAACGTCCATGTGAGAGAGAGACATCGACCGGCTGCCACCCACACGACCTCAACTGGGGCCGGGACAAACCACAACCAAGTACGTTCCCTTAGCGGGAACTAAAGCCGGGACTCTCTGGTCCACGGGCCTACTCTCTGACCACTGAGCCAAACCGGCCAGGGCACTGTCCTTAATTCTTGAATCTATTGGGCCAGTTGGTGAGGGCCAGAGAAGCAGTAGTGTTCCTTGACAGCTGGTGGTGGAGGGAAGCGGTGTTTCTTGGCAGTGTTTGGAGGTATTGGAATTTATTGCAAAAGCAAATGCAAAATGGACCTTTGAAAGCTGGACTATAGCATAATGTGCCAAAAATGTTATAAATGAAACTGCATACTTGATCTATAGGTAGAAGTGGACTAATGCAGTCTTCTAAGAGTAGCAGCATTGTGTGATTTATTTTTGGATTATGCTATTAGACAAATCTTCACCCAAGGATATTTTTCCATTTATCTTCAGATAGTGTGAGAGGGGAGGAGGGAGGAAGAAGAGAGAGAGAGGGAAACATGGATGTGAGAGAGACACATCAATTCGTTGCCTGCTGCATGACCCTGACCAGGGCCGGGGATGAACCACAACTGAGGTACCTGCCCTTGGCCAGAATCAAACCTGAGACTCTGGTTCGCAGGCCGACACTCTAACCGCTGAGCCAAACCAGCCAGGGCAAGTCACCAAAATTTTGGATAGGCTTCAGTTATTTAGAAAATTTTTCTAATGGAACTTTTGATTCATATATCATTGTGATTGTGAAGGATTGAAAACGTAATCAACATATAACATTGTCTCTTCAAAAGGATAATCTTTTCTGTCTCCCCTGTACTCTTTTCTTAGGTTGTGTATTCTTTCTGTGCCTGGGGATTTTTTATATGTTTCGCCCAAACATCTTCTTTGTGGCCCCTCTGCAAGAGAAGGTGGTCTTTGGATTATTCTTCTTGGGGGCCATTCTCTGCCTTTCGTTTTCATGGCTCTTCCACACAGTCTACTGCCATTCAGAAGGGGTCTCCCGACTCTTCTCTAAGTAAGTATCTGTAAAGTCCATATTCTGATCAATGATTTAGAGTCCATTGGTTAGTGAGAAACATCTAGCAGAGCTGGCAGAATCCTTAATAACATCTCTTAGGAACTTTAAAAAAAACCCAAGTATCCAATATGCCTCTTAGCTGTCATTGCTAGATCATGTCTTGGGGGATTAATTTGAACACGTAGTGAGCAGTGATTTTTAACATTAAATGGATTTTTTTTCCTGTCCTAGACTGGATTACTCTGGTATTGCTCTTCTGATTATGGGAAGTTTTGTTCCTTGGCTTTATTATTCTTTCTACTGTAACCCACAACCTTGCTTCATCTACTTGATTGTCATCTGTGTGCTGGGCATTGCAGCCATTATAGTCTCCCAGTGGGACATGTTTGCCACGCCCCAGTATCGAGGAGTACGAGCAGGTAAGAGCATGTGGAGGTTTTACGTTGAACAGTTATTTATTTACCAGTCATTTACTAAAGGTCTACCATTTTCTAAGCATTATGCCATATACTTGTGTTGCAGAGGTGAATAAATCATAGTCCCTGTTTTTGAGGGACTTTTAATGTTGTGTTCATTAATTGTCTTAAAGCATTAGAGTTGAGGAGCTGTGGTAAGCTCGATGTATTTTGGGCAGTGTAGTTTTCTTGAGTTTATGGCCATACACTGTCGATAAGACGGGCTCTGTAACCTTTGTAAAATAAATGATGATTCCTCTTAGTCTCAGCATGGTGTGTACTTTTTGTAGTGATTTGTTCTTTTTGTTGTTACCATTTTTGTTTTGTATTTTTATTTTAAAATGTGTAATCTGCTTAGGTAAATAAGATTTACTCCATACTTACTGTGTTCTATTACTGTAGGCACCATGCATTTCTTCTGATATAGGGTTAAAGAGGCTTTTTATTTTTAGGATAATGTTTGTTGAGCTGGAGACTGTATGGAAAGCCAGAAGTCTTTGAGTGCCTTGGTTGAGCCTTCCTGTAGGAGTATGGAAGTTACAGAGTTAACAGATATTTTTGTCTCCCATTGGAATGGGGACTCCTTATAGTCAAGATATGTCTTGATTTTTTTTTTTTTTTTGGTTAATCCTCACCTGAGGATATTTTCCATTGATTTTTTTTAGATATCAGTGGGAGGAAGGAAGTGGGGGGGGAGGGACATCGATTGGCTGCCTCTCACATGACTCTGACCCGGGGCCGGGGATTGAACCTGCAACCACAGGTACGTGCCCTTGACTGGGAATCAAACCCGAGACCCTTTGGTCTGTGGGTCGACGCTCTAACTGCTGAGCAAAACTGGCCAGGGCTGTGTCTTGAATTTTCTATTCCCAGTATCAAACATAGTGCCTATGGAGAATAAACAAGTATTAAAGGGAGTATTTTTCCTTTTGACCTTTTATTTTAAAAAACTGTTTAGTACTAAAATGTATGCCATGGCTCATTTGCAGTTACCTAAAAGGTTAGGAGTTAGGATTAACTTCATGTTATAACCCACTTTCCTCTTCTCTCTGAGTGTTCACGTGCGCAAACGAGCAGTGGTCAGGATTGGCTTTCAGTAGTATTTAACTGTGGTGTTAGGCCTGCTTGAGCACATGAGATAAGAACGTCTTTGCTGATAGAGCCGGCCATCCTGCTGTTTATACACATCAGAAGAACCAAGTTTTGATTGAGACAATGATAGACAAGACCATTGGCAGCTTTTGCTTAGCATGTAGAGGAACAGAATAATTGGAAGAACAAGGTTGTGGTGATTTTTTAGTGAGGAGTGGAGGTTGGAAGTAATTTTTATTTAGGCCTGCTTGCTTTCTTTCTTTCATGTGATGCACAATTGCCATTTTCCTCTTCTCCGTTGATGTCCATTTTGTTTATGAATATGCATATGTACATATATACATGCATACATTTAGGTAGTAATGTCTAAAGCAAGCAATATGCCCCTTTCTTTTGAGAAAGCTTACCAAGTGATTGTTTTGCAAGAGTCATTCTTACATCTTTGTGTTAGAAGTGTTGGCACAGTTATGGCTTCTGCAGGAAGTTCATGTGGTGCTTTGGTTGACACATAGATTTCAAAATGGTTTTATATCAGTTGCCTTCAAGCCTTTTTGATCATGGCATTTTCTCTTACAACCCTGAACACACACACACACAAATGGACAGAGATAGGAATTATAAAACTTTTACTAACTAGTGCTTAACTCTCTACTTGTGACACAGCCTGATATTTGTTATTTTATTCTAGTTCATGTAAAAACTCCTGATCCAGACTCACTTAGTTGGTCACATCAAGAAATTTGAAAAACACTGCTACAGATGATGTTGAAGGCAGTAGGGATTGGTGGAGTGATTCTGATAGACTTATGTACCTGATTGGTACTTTTGGGCTTGGGAACTTTCAGAAGCATCTATCTATCTATCTATCTATCTATCTATCTATCTATCTATCTATCATCTATTTATCATCTATCTAATCATCTCCCCCCACACCCCTCTGTCTGTCTGTCTTGGAAATGGAGACATGGCTTAGGCTTAGAGGGATGAACCTTTATAGGTGAGTGCAGTTTTACCTGTTCCCAAGAGTATTTTCATCAGAACCAATAACTGCCTTTTCTTTCCTTACCTCACCTCCACCTCTCACTCTCTCACGCCCCCCTCCGCCTCAGGAATAGCTGTTGCTTTAAAGGAAGATAAAATATGTAAAATTACTTTGTATTGCAACCTGTGTCTATGAAGAGGCAGAGTTTAGGGAGGTTCAGACAAACTCCTAGAGCTGTCTATTTCTTAAACACTTTGCAGGGTGCTTTGAAGACTGCTGGCTCCTTAAGCTCAGCCCCTCTCAGCGGGAGGCTCCTTGCATTTGTAAATTAAATACATCTGTCTTTTAGAACAAAGCTGTGCTGTCTCATGTGGCAGTATCTTAGAGTTTGAAGAACCTTCTTTTTCTGTTCAAACAAGAAGCTAATGTTGCATTCTACTTTGAAGTGTTCACTTTACAGAATTACTGATTCTGTGCTATAATACTTATCTCTTATTTGTTATTTCTCTTCTGCATTTATGCTCTATTGTGATTTCCTAGGAGTGTTTTTGAGCCTAGGCCTGAGTGGAATCATTCCTGCCTTGCACTATATCATCTCAGAGGGGTTCCTGAAGGCTGCCACCATAGGACAGATTGGCTGGTTGATGCTGATGGCCAGCCTCTATATCACGGGGGCTGCCCTGTATGCTGCCCGCATCCCTGAACGCTTCTTTCCTGGCAAGTGTGACATCTGGGTAAGTATGATCAGAGGTGGCTATTGGGTATACATACATATCTCTCAGTGGCTTATTGGAAGACTGGGAAGTGGAATAATTGAAAAAGTTTTAGACTCAAACTGACAGATTGTATTCTAGCCCTAATTCTTCCTTATTGGTTGTGTTTCTCTGGATGATAAGTATAATAATAACTATATTTATTGAGGTCTTACTTGGTGCCTGGCATAGTACTGATGAGCACTTCACATGGATTACCTCATTTAACATATTAGCCCTAACGAGTATAACAACTGTTATTAATGCTTTTATTTTCAGCTTAGGAAATGAGGTTTAGGGAGATAGGTAATTTGTCCAATGTGCCTGGCTATTCAGTGGTAGGGGTAAAATTTGAATTAGGCTAGTCTAATATCAGAGTCTGTGGTCCTGTCGATTTTCCCAAAGCCCCTTTGGGAACCAGATTTCTACCTAGGTCCTTTAACAGAAGACAACCTGAAACATGTCAACAGTACAGAATTGGAGTGTTGTTTGATATGAAGTCTGACCTTTAGAATTCTGTTCCTTAACCTGTTGATTGTTATAGACTAAGTTATCATCTAGTCTCTCTAAAGTTTAGTTTAGCTACCTGTAAAATGAAGAGAATGCTAATTTAGGCAATCTTGAGTTTCACAAGAGTTAATTTATCTCTCTGAGGTCACACCCTCGTAATTTTTACAGTGATATTGAGATTTTCACCTTTACTCCTTTTGGGGAAGAAGGAGTCCCCTTTGGTTTCCTAGGAACCACCTCTATGGATATGACTTATAAATCTAATTTACACTTCTAAAATCAGTGTCTTTCCCTTGACAAGTACTATTTTGTTGCTGTACTTTTTCTTTTTTTTACTACTGTACTTTTTAATTTTGAGACTATGAGAGAATAGTGTGATTTTGAAATACTGTTTGGTGCACTGAGTATTTGATAACCCTTTTGAGTATTCAGCAGAACAGGTTAAATCAGAAATGTCACATGCTTGTAGACCAGCTTCTGACTTGAAAAGTAAAAGGCCCTGTTTTCCTAGTCTGTTGATACAGTATGTTCGTGTAATTCCAGAGTCAGAGATGGCAAAGCTCTAGCTGCCATATGTTTTGACCTGTACCCGGTCCTAGAAATCCCTTTAGTTTTTCTAACAGAGGACATTTTCTAACATTTGAATGACCATAGCTCAGGTGCTTTAGTCCATGACAGAAGCGTCCATCAGCAATGAGGAAAACGCCTTTCTGTCTGTCCATAGCCCACTGCTAGGCACTAGGGGATCCTTGGTGCCTTTGTGGTCTGTTAGCAGGAGAGTCTATGTATGTCATTTGCTCCCAAGTTCACCAGATACTCCAGTGTTAAGTGTGCACATTTTTGTGTCTAGACCTTGGTGGTAGCACCTTGATTTCTTTGGGGACAGCTGGCCTTCAGTTCAGCAGAATATGATATGCCTAACGTATATCCCAAGATCTGTGGCATCTCGAATTTGAGCTCTGTCACATCCATTCGTTGCCCTCTGCTCAGCATAAATGATCTTAAGAACCGTTAGCAAACTTTAATAATGCATGGGTTTCTCTCCCCCCCCACCTTTTTTTTTGGTCTCCAGTTTCACTCTCATCAGCTATTTCACATCTTTGTGGTTGCCGGCGCTTTTGTTCACTTCCACGGGGTCTCAAACCTCCAGGAGTTCCGCTTCATGGTTGGCGGAGGCTGCAGTGAAGAGGACGCACTGTGACGCCTACAGTAGCCAGGGCTGGGACCCTGAACCGGGGCCGCTGCAGGCCTCTCCCTTCCTGGCTATTGATGCCAGTACCAGAGGAGCCCCAACACTTTGACAGCTTCCTGGGCTTGGTGACACCCCAGGGGCTCCATGTGGCACATAACTGAGAAAAGAAAAACAAAAATAAATCATACCTCAAAGGATGGAGTGCATCAATTTGGAGAAAAGGCGAAATGGCCCAAACCCTGACGCATTCTTGGGCTATACTGATTAGGGCTCTGCTAGACCCTTGGCAAACTGGCTTCTGATCCATATCATATTTATTTGTAGCAGATGGAGAAACAGTTTAGCTGGCAGTGCAGTCTTCTTCCGTTTTCTCTCCTTAAAACAGTAATACAAACCAATTTAGGTGAACATTTATATCCAATTAAGGGTGGGGATGTGATTTTAGATGCTCTTTTGGGAGAACCAACAAGTTAGTGTAAATAAGATTTCTAACTTACTGTTTAAATAAGAATTTATATAAATGTTTAAACCATAGGGGTAGGGGAGGGAGGGAGAATTTTTGTATAGAATGAAACATACAAGTACCACACACTGTTTCAATTTTGCACAAAGTGACTGTAGGAGGATCAGGTGATAGCCCCAGAATGTATAATGCCTTGGTGCACCAAGGTGCCTTCTGAAGGCTGACGTATCCTGGACCCTGGTGGGGCAGAGAGTGAGCCCCTGCCCAGTGATCACACGACCACTCATGCCTGAGAGCCTTTGGGAGTCCTGAGGAGAGGGAGAGGGGGTATGTGTTTTCTAAGTGGAAGCAGCACGTGAGTGGCTAACAGGATGGTAGATGAAAGTTCTAGTTAAGGTGTCCTTTGAGAGACCAACTTCTGTTCTATGCTAATGATCCTCCCTAAGGAGCCGAGCCACCTGCTTCAGAAGGTCAGTTATGCTGGCGGAGGGGTAGTGGAGACGGTAGGAGGAGCTCTGGAGATATTAGCACAGGGCTGGTCTGATTACTGGCGTCCTGCTCAGTTTTGTGGTGATTTTTATCTGATTGCAGGGATATGTCAGTTTCCATGTCCTTGATATGGAGCTTTGGAATACTTTGGAAATTTCCCTGTATTAAAATCATTGCCCTGCCCTGGCCGGTTTGGCTCAGTGGTTAGATCTCTGGCCTGCGATCCAGAGAAAGCCGGGTTCGGTTCCCGCTAAGGGCACGTACCTCGGTTGTGGTTTGTCCCTGGCCCTGGTTGGGTCGTGCAGGTGGCAACAACTCGATGTGTCCCTTTCATGTCGATGTTTCTCTCTCTCTCTCTCTCCCCTCCTCCCACTCTATCTGAACAAAATATCAAAAAATGTCCTCGGGTGAGGATAAAAAAAAAAATCATTGCCCTAACTATCCTTTCAAGAATAAAAACTGACCTTTCCCTGGCACTATTGTTCTTGGCATGGAGGCAGCTATAATAGTGTCTTGTCCAGGTGCCCCCTAAGCTCATTTGGGTAGGTCAGGAGAATGCTTCAGATTAGGAACGATGAGTTTCACCTGGCAACTGTCTTGGCGAACCTCAGTGTGGCAGACATGAGCTCTCCTTGAACAAAAAAGCCAGTAGAACTCCTATAAAGCAGGGCCTGATACCCACCATGCAGTAGCAGCAGTCCCTGAACCCCATTTTTAAGGGATCGCATGGTGGGAAGTTTTAAAAGAAAATTGTATATTATTGCCAGGGAGTCTGGTAGAATCTTTAAAGCTGTACCTTTGAAGAGCTGCTAGAAGTAAAAAAAAAAATTGCATATGTCTCAGAGATTATGGTGTCAGGGAGCGTGTTAGGGAAGGCTCTGGTTCATAGAATTCTCATCTTGGTTTGTGGGTGAACCACCCAAATTACACTAGAGTTTTAGGTGACTTCCTGTCATCTAGGGCTGCAGGTGATTGTTACATCCCGGGGAGTATGTGCATTAGAACTAAACATTGAGGCCCTGATCGCCGGGGCTGGCATCCTCCACTGGGTGTTTGGGAATATGGCAAAGTTCACTGTTTATTCCATATAGGGTTTTCTCCATTCTTTTCTCCTTTCTAATCTCTAACAAAAGCTGGGAACCAGGAAGAAAGAATCCATTGTAGAACTTGGGAAGAACATAAGAGTAGTTTGGTTCTGGATAAGGCCACTGCCCTGGGTGCTAGGTGGACCCAGCAAAAGACTCGGTGGGTGAACTGGCTCAGTGCCTGACAGAATAAAGAACAGTATTGCTCCCTTCGAGGAGACAGTGCAGCAGGACAGTGGCCATCTGGGAGACGCTCCCTTATTTCCATGGAAGTAACAGCACACATCAGAAGCCAGCCTTGCTCTTCGGTCATGCACTTTGAGGTACGGGGTATAAGATGCAGTCTTGAAACAACACCCACAGAGGCAGTGGGGCTGTGGGCCCAGTCACCCGCCACCCCAAGGGTGGAGCTGAATCTGGTTCAACAGAGCACAAACCCTTAGGAAACATGACATTTGACATCAATGATGTATAATCCAGTAAAAATCTCTTTAGGGGGTGTGTGTGTGTGTGTGTCCATCCATTTATATGTGTGTCTGTGTGCAACTGACTACCAACAGCCTCACCACACTGGTCTCCCAGTGCTCGCTGAGAACTCACCAGGTCGGCGCCTGAATGCCTTACTCTCAGCAGTCTGAGGCTTGCTTGCTCTGTGCAGATTTTTAATTTTCTTTTTGGCCCTAGGCTGATTAGGACCTCTACAGCTTCATACTATCACCATTAAATAGTGGCCTTTTTCAGTATTTTTCTCTTTACCCTTTAAAAATTGCTGAAGCCACAAAGCACATTTTTGGGGATCATTGACGGTTGGGGTTTCGGAAAGGCATCTTTACGATGGTCCCATTCACCATGGGATTTCCCTACTTGCTGTATTCTCAACTTCTAATAAAAGGAACCAAATGGAAAATGAACTTGTGTGTGTGGTGATTTTATTTTTTAAAATTTATTTTTACTGCCTCAGCTTACTGCCCCAAAGTGTTTGGCATTTCTGACTTGGAGTTTTAATTTTTACACTGAAGCTTAAGGAATTTTCAGAAACTTGCCAGTCTGAATTCACAAACCAGCGTGCTCATGCCCAGCTCGCTTTTCTTAACCTTCTGACCAGTTTAGAGTGGAGGGGAGGGCTGACTCACTCCAAGGGGGCAGTTCTTCATGTATTACTAAAGTTTATGAAACTAATACCTAATATAATGAACACATTATGCAAAGTTTATGAAACCAATCCTAATATAATGAACACATTAAAGGACTTCTGTAGATCATGTGATCCCAACACCACCCTGTGAACGGATCGTCTCATTTCATTGGTGAGAGACTGGAGCCCTCTTTAAGAAATTCCAATTGAACAGGCTTAAGTATATTGACTTAAACGTTTTACGTAACTAAAGAGGACTTCTAACTCTTCTGTCTTAGGTAAATTTAGTTTTGCAGGAGAATTTCCAGTATTGGATAATATGTCCACTCAATTCTCTCTCTCTCTTTTTTTTTAATCCTCACCTGAGGATATTTTTCCATTGATTTTCTTAGATAGAGTGGAAGGAAGGGATACAGAGAGAGAGAAACATCAATGTGAGAGAGATCCATGGACTGATTGCCTCCCACATACATGACCCTGACTGGGGCTGGGATCGAACCTGCAACCCAGGCACGTGCCCTTGACTGGAAATCAAACTCACTCTGACCGCTAAGCCAAACTAACCAGGGCTCAGTTCTCATTTTTAAGTATGGCTAAAACTTAAGGATTTCCCATATTACCTGGGTATAGAACACAGGATTGCATTCTGCTCTTGAAAAATAAGGTGAGGCCTACAAATAACTCAACTTTGTTTTTTTCCCAGCCTCTTCTGCAAACTGTCTATATGTTCCCTTTCTCGGGTGAGCTCTGTGGATATTGTAAAGGAGATAAGGACAAGTTTGAGTTTTGACTATACAATGCTAGGGCTCTGGTGGTCTAGAACAGCCTTGGGCAGGGTTGCTTTAAAATTACCCCAGGCCCTGGCCGGTTTTGCTCAGTGGTTAGAACCTCAGCCCATGGACCAAAGAGTTGCAGTTTCCATTCTAGTCAAGGGGCATAGACCTTGGTTGTGGTTCGTCCCTGGCCCTGGTTGGGGTCGTACTGGAGGCAACCGGTCGATGTGTCTCTCTCACTTTGATGTTGCTCTCCCTCCCTCCCATTCTATCTGAAGATAAATGGAAAATATCCTAGGGGGAGGATTAAAAAAAAAAATTACCCCAGAAATAATCCTTGTCTCAGATATTTTGCTTTAGTTTCAGCATATTCTGTATTTTCTTCCCTAAGTGGGCATGAACTATGCACCACCACACCCTGTATCCTAATACACAAACTTTTTCTGCCTTCCAACTGTTGGATTTGCTGAAACGAAGTGAGTCTGATTCTTGCAAATTCTGCTTGCGGCACCATGGGGCTGGGGGACCCGAGGAAGCAGGGGACCCAGTTGCATGACCACGAAGTCCTGTCATTACTGCCCACTGCCCACCCGTGCCAGCTCTCCTGACCTAGAAACAGCATGGGTTCAGAGCCCAGCTCTGCCATTGGCTGGATGACAAGCAAGAGTCACTTCCCCAGCCTCTGTTGCCTCACCTGTGAAAATGGAGTTTCTAACATCCTCTGCATCTTTTTGTGAAATGCTCGTACAGATCCACATTTCTCTGATTTCCATTGTGATTGGCTGGCGTTGCTGCCAAGCTCTTGCTCTAGTTCTTCCCTTTTGTGGTCTGTGACTCCCCCATGTTTACTTTTCTGACTTTAAGATATGTCCACTCCCTTGCCGTCCTGGGCCAAAACTCTCAGCACCCTGAAGTGCTGTAGAAGCATTTTACCTGAAAGCACTTCTGCGAAAATACATGAATTGGTAGGTGAATTTGGTAGTTAATATATCCCTGTACTGAGGAAGGAGGATCTGACAGCAGCCTTGAGTTCTCGGCCATCCAAAGATGTACAACATTTATAAGAGAAGGATTTCAAGATCCTGTACCCCGGACTTGGCATTTATTTTTATTTTTTGTTGTTAATCCTCACCCAAGAATATTTTTTCCATTGATTTTTAGAGAGAGTGGAAGGGTAGCGGGGAGAGAGAGAGAGAGAAACATCAATGTGAGAGACACATCGATTGGTTGCCTCCCGCATGCACCCCGACCAGGGCCGGGATTGAACCTGCAACCCAGCTACATGCTCTTGACTGGGAATCGAACCTGCAACCTTTTGTTGCACAGGCTGAAGCTCTAACTACTGAGCCCACTGGCCAGGGCTCTTGTCATTTATTAAATGACTTTGGTTTGAATTTTGTTTCTCTGAACTCAAGATGATGGCTCTTTGGCTTGAGCCAGGCTGCCACCTGCTGTCCTTTAGTGGTTTTGTTAACAGTAGAAAGAGGAATAACAGTTCTGACCTCCGAAGGCAAAACTCGAAAGGATGCTCTGTTCTTTCAGGTAAAGTGCAAGGCTAGTTGATCAGAAATGCTCTTTTGTTCCATCGGTTCTGGAGGAGATTTCCAGATCTCAGCCCACTATCGGCTGCGCAGAGGCATGGAGATCAAGTGGACAAAAAGGCCAGGATCTGCCACGGCATTGCCTAAGCTTGGCTTTTCAGTTACATGCTGAAAGAGTTGATAAATTTGCCTGAAAATGTGCTCTTTGGTTGTGTGGGGAAGATAAGCCTTTTGAAAGACAACACTGGATTGTCCTAGAAAGAGTCTAGCAGTCAGGAGGCAGCGGTTGAGGTCAGATACCGTCGAAAGTCTGGACATTTATTAATGCCACAGAAAGTCACGTGAGTGTCCGTGGCCCTTGCGGGGAGAGGCTGGAGCAATGCTAGAAAGGGCCCTTGCTGCTATGCCTGTCGCAATGGGGTCATCGCGGCAGGGATGGCAAAGCTCTGGGCTGTGACCTTTGCCTCCTGTCCTGGCTTCCAAACTATTTCTTCGCCCCCTCCTCCATGGAACAAGGTCATAGTAGTTAGGCACATCATTATGAAGATCACATCCAAACCTCACAAGACTCTTCTAATAATTTGGACCCAGTTTTCCACTCTGCTTCCATTCCCTGGTCTGTAATGTGGGGCTAACACTGGAACCTACTTCAGAGGGGTGTCGCCAGGATTGAACGGGTGATGCCTGTTTTCTCCTGGTACCTGTGAACCTTAGCTATTCCCTGCATTATTCTGCCACCTAACTAGTGAGCTGGTGTGGGTCCCTTACCTTCTCTGAGGTTCGAGTTCTTCAGCCGTAAACAGGCTGCTAATGCCCGCCTCAGGGTTGTGGAGAGACTTAAGTGCTCATGGAAGTAACATTGTATAATTGATAGTATAAGGCATTTTACAAATAGAATGAATGTGTTGTATTGAGCTGGTGTACTCGGGAGAAGCGGGGCCAATTACTGGTGGGAACATTGTACTTTGAAGTGTGGAGGGCTGAGAAGAAGGGCCCCCCAAGGCCCTGCGCGCCGCCCTTGCCTGTGACCGGGCTAGACCGCCTGGTGGAGGCTGGTTAAACAGCGGGCTGAGGCCAGCCAGGACGTCTACACACGTCTGCCTTGAATGTCACTCTCACAGTGGAGACTGCTGTCTCTCAGGAGCCAGGTCTGAGCGGGAGGGGGGAGAAATTCCAGGGCCTCAAGACCCTGGAGGACTGTATGTGAAGGGCGAGTTCCCAAATTTGTCTCCCTTCCTGGTGGGCTCTGCCCCGCAAATTGAGATGTTCCCCAGATTCCACCCCCAGGAGCAGAGCCAGGTAGTCTGTTTTGTAGATCAGCGGACAGAAAGACCACTGGGACTGGACCTGGGAGTGTGGAGCTAGCCCTCTGGAGCCCTCCCGGTGACCCGGGAGGGGCTGCTCTTCCCTGGGACTCTGCTCTGGGCAGCCCTCCTGCTGCCGCGCTGACCGCCTTCTTCCAGGGAGGCTGTGCATCTCCCCCTCGGGGCCTTTTCTTTTCTTTTCTTTACTTAATGATTATTTCTATTTTTTTTTTTTTAAATTTCCTTATGCAGACTGGTGCAGCCACTATGGAAAACAATATGGTGTTACCTCAATAAATTAAAAATCGAACTTCCATTTGACCCAGTGATCCCACTTCTAGGAATATACCTTAAGAAGCCTGAAACACCAATCAGGAAGAATATATGTTCCCCCATGTTCGTAGCAGCACTGTTTACAATCGCTAAGATCTGGAAACAGCCCAAATGTCCATCAGTAGACAAATGGATAAAAAAGCTGTGGTACATATACACAATGGAGTACTATGCAGCTGTAAGAAAGAAAGATCTCTTATCCTTTGAGACAACATGGAGGGACCTGGAGAGTATTATCCTAAGCGAAACAAGCCAAGCAGAGAAAGACAAATACCACATGATCTCACTTATTTGTGGAATATAATGAACATAACAGTCTGAGGAATGGGGTAGTCCCAGAGACGTGGAAGTGGGGTACAGACTGACAATCCCCAGAAGAGGGGGTGGTGGGGGAGAGATAAACCACAGAACTTATATGCATGTATGCATGAACAATGGACATGGACAACAAAGCTGGGGACAGGGTGGGGAGGGAGGAAATTAGTGGGGGGGGGGGAGGAGAAACATCTGTAACAAAAATAATAAAAAATGTTTTTTTTCCTTTATTAATTTTTAGAGAGAGAGGAAGGGACAGGGGGAGAGAGAGAGAGAAATATTGATGAGAGAGAACATCGATTGACTGCCTCCTGCATGCCCCCACTGGGGATCGGGCCCACAACCTGGGCATGTGCCCTGACCGGGAATCGAACCAGTGACCTCTTGGTGCCTGGGTCAGTGCTCTCAACCACTGAGCCACACCGGCCAGGCCAGTGCCTTTTCTTAGTGAGATGCAGATGTTCCTTTACATTAGGGCTTTGCAAAGGTGTTTGTAGAAGTTTTTTAATAGCAACAGTTTGCAGACATCATATGTAACCATGTTGGTGTAAAAGGAACCTGGGTCTTTTCCATTAGTCATTTCCCTGCGCACGTGCGCTCTCTCTCTCTCTCTCTCTCTCTCTCTCTCTCTCTCTCTCTCACACACACACACAGTTAGAACTCTTGAGCAGCAGAAGGAAATTGAGGTGCCCCCACCATGCATCTCACTTTGAGGCAGTTATGTTTTGGGCAGGGGCTTGTTCTTGCTTTGACCTCATTTCTGCTGTTGGTATTGTTGGTCTCGTTCTGCTCCTCTTTCTCGGTATCTTTAAGTCCGTGGGTTCCACTGGAGACCAACCAGGTTCATTAGAAATAGCTGACCCTTTCTTTGGCTGAGTCTGGACTTCTGGAGAGTAGATTAAATCCTTTTGTCTTAGTCCAGGTTCAGCTCACACTGGGCTCCTGAAGAGGAGGGAGGAAGGGGAGGATGCCCATTGAGATGGGCGGTGGCTCCAGGCGCCCTGGAAGGTCTTTGGGTAGTGGCTTCTGGTTTCATCCAGCAATTTCAGGAGGCAGGGTCCATTAGCTCAAGACTGAGATGAGCCCAGACCTGGCTGATAACCCAACTGTAGTGAGCTGGGTTCCCACATTAGTTGCTGACTCTTTAAAATGTATCTGGAAGGATCACCTTGTCAAAACCGAGGTTGGACGGGGTGAGTGTCACGGCAGCTGGGGTAGCAGCAGCCAAGCACACAAGACAGCAGGAGCAGGGGGAGCGAGGCGGAGGTGGCCGAGGCGCCGCCACAGTCCTGGGCATTCTCCTGCGAATGCAGAGCAGAGATGAAGGGGCAGCATTTCAGATGAGGCGACCACTCCAGCCAGAGGAGGCGGGGAGTGGGGTGGGGGTCCCTGCGACTAATAGGGGCCAAAAACCTGGGGAAAGGAAGGTTTCAGAAAGTGGAGGAAGCACTGTCCCCTCTCTTAGACCCCGTACATTTTGGGGGCTGTACACAGACCCAGAGCTGGGCTTAGGACTTCTCTGCTTGCCCCGTCTTGGAGTGACTGTGGCTCATCCTCTTAGAATGACTTCAGGGGAGCCATTGGCTCTGAGAGCACCTTTGGGTGGGTCACTGTGCAGCCATGTCCCGCAGAGACAGTACCGTGCACACAGTGCCAGCTCGGGCTCTGCCACGTGGCGGGTGCTCAGTAAGTGTTGGTCACCATTACTATTTTCACATAATGGTTTCCTCCTGTCTGCTGAGATCACCTGGAGCTAACTGCAGCGGCCATCAGGACAATATGGGGAAGCTGTATTTTGATGCACTGAGGGCTCAAACCCTGGGATCTAGGACCTGGGACCCTGGTTAACTGAACATTCGATGGGCGTGCATGAAGGTTTGCCTGTGCAGCTGCATCCCTGTGTCCAGGCACGGCCACAGGGCTGAGGGTTTGGGGAGGAAGACCAAGCCCACCCCTCACCCCAGCCCCCACCTCTGGATGGAAGGCATGACAGGAATCTGGCCGCCGGCGGAGCTTCTGGGAGCGCATTCTGTCACACTTGATGGAGGCGTTATGTGCAGAAGTCACTGTTAAGGCAAACAGCTCAGGACAGGAGCTGACCCTGGAGACTGAGTTCTAGAGGAGCCTACTTCTGGTGGGACCAGCTGCCTTGCTTCCGGGGCAGGAGGCAGCACTGAGGGCCTGGGGGAAGGGCTGCAGAACAAGTAACGATGCTCTGTGGGGAGGGTGGGATGTTGGTGCTGGTCAGCCTTCAAAATCTGAGCCCCTCAGTCTGTCCTGCATCCCCCCTCACCCCACACATCCTGGAAACTGGAAGGATATAGTTGACTTCTGTAGCCTGCTGCAGGATGAGCGGGAAGATGCTACAGTCACAGCTGGGGTCTGTCACCAGGAGGAGAAGGTTACTATGAGGTATCTGTTGCATCACGAATATCCTGCCGCAAAGAGAGAGGTGGGGCCGTGGATCCATGGGAGGCTTGGCACTGGGTTTCTGGGGTGGGTGGGGACACTTCTAGTGTAGAGTTGGCGTGGCGGGGAAGAAACGGAACCACGAGGCAGGTCAGGTCAGGGCAGCTACAGGAACAGCCCTGGGCAACTGCCAGGCTTATTGGCTTATTTTACCCACAAGCCATTGCAAATGATTCTTTCCTAGCAGATGGGAGAAGGTGAGGAAGTCAAAACCGGAACACTTTTGAGAGTGAAAGGAGTTGTTATTAATCTATGCAGGGACGACAGGCATAAATCAAGAGTGTGCCAAGTAAAGAGGGATGTGTGGCTATCCTTGCTTTGGGTGAACGTGGTGGGGGAAGGCCATGGGGGAAATGCAATGCTCAGCCTTGACCACTAGGTGGCACAGTGCCCCTGCGTACTGCCCGGGAGTCTGCGAGGAGGGAGCGAGCCAGGAGTATGGAAGGCCTATTGTGCACCTGGCCGGTGTATTACATAACCACTGCCCCTTGATGAGCATCTTCCTCGGAATGGTTGGTTTTATGTACATGCACACGCACATGCACACGCACACATACGTACATGTGTACATAACCTTCACCACACTGCATGAGGTTGCTGTTACTTCCATTTTGTAGATGAGAAAACGGAGGCTGGAACTGGCTGAGTAACTTGCCCAGCGTTACATACACAGCCAGGAAGTAGCAGAGCCACTTTCTAAACCTAAGCCTGTCTACTCTAAAGTCTTTGCTTTGCCCCACACCATTCCCTCCATCCTTACAACAAGCCTTTGAGCTAAGTGCACAAGTAACAATAGTCCCAAGAAAACCGCTGTGTTCAATTAAAACCCCTCCTGACATTACACAAGGGCAGAGATGGGAACCCGTCTCTGTCTGACACCCAAGGCTGAGGTGTTAAACTAGAAAAGAATTTGACATCTGGGGTCCCCCAAGGACATCCGGGGAAGGAGCCCTTGGTGAATGGCAAGGCTTGCCAAGGGGACACCCTAGAGGAGCCCACTGCCCCCTGGATCAGGAAGGACAGAACTTCCCAGGGAAGGGTCCCCGAGGTCGAGGGTGTGAGTCAGCAGGGGAGAGTCGCTCAGGCCTCCCTGGGCCGGGCTTGGAGAACCGGTTGGATCTAACGGCCTCTGCTGAGGAGGCTGCGGGCCGGGGGGAGGCACCAGCCCACCCGCTCTGAGAACACCCGTGAGCCTTCCCCTTTCACAGGCAGGTTCTAAGGGCGCCGACTTGTTTCCTTCCTCCGCTCTGCCCTTGCCTTCCAAGGTTGCACGATGGAGGTCAGCTTGCGTGGCCCTGACACCCAGCTGCTGCACAGGGGTGAGTGAGACTTGAATTGTGAGACCATTTTTTCCTGACTGGGAGGGCTTTGGGCCTGGCGTGGGGGTGGACTTGCTGACGAGGATCTGGCCTCGGGACCGCCGTTCCCTAGATCCCTGACATTGCACAGCAGACTGTCCACTGTCCCCAGCTGGCCTCCTCCCTCACCCTCTGCCTCCGCCTGTTTCCTTCACTGAGGAGAGTGCAAAACAAAGACCCCGGGGTGGGGGAGGCTTTCACTTGGAGCACCCCTGCTTTCTCCCCACTTGGAGACCACCCCTGGAGGGACTGAGCCCTGCCGAGGCTGGGGGCGGAGGAGCTGCCTCGGGCCTTACTTCTGGCAGGCGCCACACTCGATGATGCCGCTGGCCTCCCGGACGGCCCTCTGGTGCACAAACACAGGGTACTCCGTGTCGCAGGGCTGCAGCGGGTCCTGTTTCTTGTGCTTGTGGGCTGAGGGGCACAGAGGTGCGGACGAGAGAAAAGCCACCATCACATGGGAGGGCCTTGGAGGTCACAACCTGCAGGGATCGGCTTCAACACCTCCAGGACCGGTGTGGCCTCCACACAATGAAATGCCCCCAGTCCGTTTGCAGATGACCCCTCTCGGAACATGGAGAGGGGCGGGGTGGGGGGAAACGAGGAGGGAAAAGGAACGGAATCCAAGGAGCGGAGTAGGTCGCAGTGGAAATGGCAGCAGACTGGGCATCAGGGTGCCTCGGGGGGTCAGTCGTGTGTGATTGACACACGAGCCCCCTGACCTTGCAAAAGCCGCTTCCTGCCTGGGGAAGCCTGCACCCTCCTTGTGAGCTGGGTGGGGAGGTGGGGGGACACCTTCTTCGAGGCTCCTTTCGGCCTCAGTGTGCAGTCTGAGGAAAGCAGAGGTGATCAGAGTGCCCAGGTGTGGCTCTGGGGAGACTCAGCCCCTTCACCCCATCACCCCTCCAATTCAGTCTGGACAGGCGACGTTTTCTCAGCTAAGGTGCTCTGCAAGCGCAGGTTGGGGACAGCCTTGGGCCGCTCTCCTGTCCCCCTGCTGGTCAGGGGGCAGAGCAGCGAGGGCCAGCCCGGCTGCCAGGGGCTGGGGGACAGACGGACAGGGTCCTTGGTGCTCACAGCTGACCTGTGGGCCCTCAGTGCATGCCTGTGCGGTGCACCTGGGGTCACCCCGAAAGGACCCAGAGGGCAGTGGGGTCCCTGGTAGCCCGCTCTGGACGGCCCACGTTTGCTCCCGAGGGGAGTGAACACAAAGGCCAGCTCCCGGGCTGAAGGACGTGATTTCCGTTCAAAGTAGCAGTATCATTTCGTTTATTTCATCAAGGCACTATCCACGCCTTTCTGTTTGCTCTCTGAGCCTGTCTGGGACATAGGCAGGGAAGGTGGTATTCCCTCGCTTTGTAGATGTGACCTTTTGCAGGGTCACACACAGTTAGTAGGGGAGCTGCAGGTCTCCTTAAGCCCCAGGCCCAGAAACATCCCACCAGACTTTGATGGCAGGAGGGGGAGTCTGGAGGGAGAAGAGTCCCAGCTAGAGGAACACCACAGGGTTCGGTGGGGTCTGTACATGGTCAGGGCTACCAAGGTCACATTGCCCTTTAAGGGTGGCTGCTGAGCTCCACCCTCCGGGCCCCTGGGCACTGGCGAGCGGTGCTCTGGCTGACCCTGCAGAGGCTCTGGACTTGGCTCCTGTCCTCCGGGCCCAGGGCCTCGGGCGTCGGCCCAGGGGCGGCTCAGGTGGCCTGTCTGCCGGGTCAGCCAAGCCACTTTGTGTGGGCAGGTCACCTCAGTGGTAGTAGGAGTAACCATGCCAACAACCACAGCTGAGTGGCTTCCCCAGGGTCACCCTCTGCGCCGCACCCAGGCCCTCGGCCCCTGGGCCCAGCGCTCACCCAGGGCGGGCTGACCGGCGGGCGGGCCGGGAGGGCGGAGGGGCTCCCTGGCCACCGGACACTGAAGCGGAGCGCGGGCGCTCGTTCTCAGCTGTTGTAAGAGCGGCTGCTGGCAGAGAAGACAGGGGCAGCTCTGTCCTGACCCTGTGTTCCCTCGCAGAGGGGAGGAGGACCTGTTTCTGAATGGGTGGTGACACATGGTTCCTGGCTCCTGTCACCAACACCAGTGACTGAACTGCCCCCAGAGAGGTCCCGTGAAGACTGGGGTGTGATTTCCAAAAGGAGCCTGGAGTCAGGGCAGGGGTGGCCACGTGAGCGGAGGGTCCGAGGACGCCTCCAGAGGGCCAGCGGCGCAAATGACTGTCCCTCAGGAAGCGAATGCTGGGGGGAGGGGGGTGGGCGTGTCGCCTGGCGCTGGACGGCAGGGCGGGGGGACAGGGTCCCTCGCCTGCAGGGCTGCAGCAGGACCGGCCAAGGCCAGGCATCCGGGTGGTCCAGGAGCCTGGGCCCCAGGGAGTGGGAGGGACCACGTCCCTCTGCAGGTGAAGACCAGGGGGCCTCACTCTCCTGGAAATGTCGTCCTAACTGGTGGACGGGGCAGTTCTTCGATCTGTGGTCAGGCTTTTGGGGTCGCTGGAGGTCTATCCCAGGAGTGCCCCAGGGGTCAGGCAAGGTCACTGCCTGCCACCCCTCAACCCTGAGCTGAGGGCTCGGGGGACGCCTGAGCTGGTGGCTGTCACCTGCACGTGGTCATAGCCACCGAGCCACGTCACCCCTTCCTCTCGGAAGTGTAGACATGCCCCCGAGGAGACGGCTGGTGTTCCATCTTCCCCGGGGCAGGCCTGTTTGGAATCTGGGCTACATCCTCAGCCCTCGGGCGCCCCAGGGTGAAGGCAGCTCAGCCCTCTCGAATGCACCCCTTTAACGGAGAGCCGAGGACAGGCCCATCGCAGCTCCGTGCTGCCCCCAACCCGCACCCAGCTCCACAGTGGGTGCTACTTACAGTGATGGAAGACAGCTTTGGCTGCCCAGGACGTGGGGCCCAGCACAGGGTGGGCCCATGTCGCGGGAGGTCAGAGGTCACAGGTGGGATGTCACATGGGAGGAGTGATGTTGCACGGAGCAGTGTGTCCGCGATGGTGAGATGTCACCCGGAGGTGGGGGAGCCGGAGTGAGGGAAGGTGATGAGAGAAGGCCCAGCAGGATGAGATGAGCGATGAACTGTCAGAGCCCCCCCCCCCAGGTGATGTTTCCAACTGGCTGACTGAAATGACACCGATTCCAAGCACAGGCCCTGCAGTGGGTACTCACCCGCGGCCCCTCTGTGCGCATGCGGGGAGCCCCAGGCACTCCACTCCAGCAGCCACCTGAGGACCAGCACCCGTCGGGACCTGAGGCTGGAGCACGGAGCTCCCAGCTGGTCCCCGTCCAGCCCTGCCCTAGGACATCCCTTCCCTGCTGAGGGTCCCCGAGTGAGCAGAGGAGGCCCTGGCAGCAGCAGGAAGGGGGAGCCCCCCCCACAGGACACTTCCTCCCCAGACCTTCCCTCCTCTGGGCTCCTCCAGAAGACACACCTGCCTGAAGTCCCCAGGCGCTGTCCCCCAACCCCCATCCCAGATCCCCCCACTCACAGCAAGAGCTCATTCATCAGCCATCTGGTGGCAGCTAGAAGGGCAGAGATGGGCTGGGAAGAAGGGGGACAAACGGTTAACCTCAGGCTAGAGACAGTGCTCCATTCGAGACCACAACCCCGAGACACCCCCTCCTGCCCCTCTACCCCTACTCTTTCCCTCTGCCGAGGCCTGGAAAGTTGAGTTATCTGAGCGACTCCTATTGCAGGGCAGACGTCCTGGGTTCGCCACGCCCAGCGAGAAGGCCAGGCAGCGCCTCCTCCTGACCACCCTCTTGGGGGCTTTCTAAGGTCCGATGACGTGTGTGGGCACACTGCTCCGCCAGGCCCGGGACAGCCCCACAGGGCTGCAGTGGGAGTGGGCAGGCGTGGGAGAGGACTTCGGCCAGTCCGGAGGTCGCCCTGGGGCCCGATGCCTGAGGCTGGGTGAGACTCGTGGGGGCTGGCCATCTGGCAGAGTGGCGGTCTGGGGTGACACTCACGCTGACCAAGGGCCGGGCTGCGCTGTGATGGTGATTCGGGGGTTTGCACATGGCCTGGTAGTCATACATGGTCACTCTGAAAGCCAGAGACAGGACACCGGTGAGTCCAGACCCTGCCCCTGCCCCTGCCCCAGGGGGTGTGCCCCAGGGTGTGTGCCCCAGGGCCTTATTCACCCAGGAGCAGGAGAGAGACATGCCAACAATCACATTTCTGTACTTTGCTTTAAAGAAAACAAAGAGTCAAGGTGGAATGTCTCCTAAGGGCCCAACGACCATACGCCCCTCCCCTCATGTCAAGTCCCTGGCTTCAGAAAGGTTGTTTTTGGAGCACTTTGGGGGCTCTCACTGTGGGTTTTTGAGGTCAGGATCCTGAGATCTGTCTGGACCATGTAGCATCAGATCCTGCCTTTTCTGTGAGTATTCAGATGGGGAGAAGCATGGCCCACTTACTGGCTGAATACCCCCATGCTGAGCAGCTGGGTCATGAGAGCACCGTCCACCTCCCCCAGAAACCTTCCCATCTGTGAGGGAGAGAGAGAGAGAGAGGGCGAGTAGGGTGAGGACTTCTAACCCCCCCACCCTGGCCCAGGCTCACTTCTGAGCTCCAGACTTTAGCTACCACTTGGGTTTTCCCTGCAGATGCCCCTTGACGTAATCCAAGCGGATCCATTCCGCTGCCTGCCCTCCCTTTAACCCGGACCCTGCCACGGTCTCATCTCAGCTTCTACAACTCGAAGTCGCATCCATTAGTCATCTATGAAATCAATCTAGGGTTTGCAGTTACATTTTTTTTAAGGTACAGAATTCCTTTGAACGGTCAGTGTGAACCCCCTGCGGCAAGGTTAACGGGTTTTCTGGAACTTGACGTGTGTGCGTGTGTGTGTGTGAGATGGCTCAGATGTACAATGTGTTTCTTTCTGCGGGTCGTGGTCACAGGAGGCTCAGCAGCGGCGGTCTGTCTCTTAGCGGACATCCTTATCAGCCAGCTGAACCGGGCTCAGAACTCGGGGCTGCCTTTGATTTGCCCTCCCTCCCGCCCTGCCCCTCTTCCAGCCAATCAGTGTCCTGTGGCTCTGTCATTCACCATCCCATCCATGGACAGTGACTTAACCTAAACCCTGTCCTTTCCACAGCCACTTCGCCCTCGTAACTGCTCTCTCCGGGCCCAGGTCCTCGGTCACTGCTGCCAGACAGTCTCCCTCACACACAGCTGGGATCCGGTCACTCTCTTCTTCGTTCCCTAGAACAGGACGCCCCTCCCCCCTTCAGTGCCCTGTCAACACTGGGTGAGCACCTGACTATGCTGGGCGTCCTCCAAGCCAGCAAGGTCAGCTCACCCCACGCCTCATGGCTGCACCCCTCCCTCCTGCCGGCCTCTAGCTCCTGCTGGTCCTCAGCCTGGCAGAGAGCTGGGACCTGGGTGTTGGGTTTTCATTCAAACCCTGGCTCTGCCACCCCTGCCCGGTGACCATGGGCAGGTTGTTGAAGAGATGGGGATAGTGTGTGCCAAGTGTCTGGCCCACAGCAAAGGCTGGGTAAGTGGCAGCCAGAATGACAAGGAGACACTGGGGCCCCCTCCCTGCCTCAATCACCCTCCCCAAGTCCTCACTCCAAGAAGCGGCCCTTCTCATCCCCCTCTAAGAAGTCCTTCCTTCCTCACATCTCCAGTCAGAGTGATGCTCCTTCTCTGCGCTAAGTGCTGACAGACTGACCACAAAAGCACACGGAGGAAAACGGAGTCAGACTTGTCAGCTCTGGTCCCTCTGTGCCTGGGAGGCCCAGGTGTTCTGACCGGGGCCCGAGGGGAGCCTTGCAGAGGGCTGTGGACGGCAGGGCCCCGCACGCAGGAGTCAAGGACATTCAGGGACAGATGGCAAGCAGGAAGGTGAGAGGCATGCAGGGCAGCCCTGAAGCCGCCTGAAGTCTGCTCCCCACAGACCACACAGTGTCCTGTTCACGGTTTTGCTCAGTGACATCTGCTGGAGGGAGGTCCGTGCGAACCGACAAGGGGATGAATGAAGAGTGTGTGTGATCTGTTCCCAGGGAAAGTGCAATGAGGGGGACTGGAACCTCCTGATGAGGCTGTCCCCTTCTCCTCCCTAATTTTAGGCTTATTCACCAAAAACCCTGTGGTTTAGACACTTGATTCTGAGAAGGATAAAATAAGACAAACTGCTAGACACTGGAAAAAATGTGTCCTCTGTAAATAAACAATTTGACTTTGAGGATGTGTCCCTCTGCAGAGAATATCCATCCTCCTCTTCTTTGGTAGGGAGATACTGACTTTAATTACAGTAGTGGAAGTGTGCTGGGCCCATAATTACGGTAGCAATATGTGCAACAAAAAGACTACACTTCCCAGACACCCCTGCGGCTGGGGCTGGCCAATGACGTGAGCAAAGTCTTGGTGGGACTTCCAGGAATGTGTTTAAAGGGTGATGACTCTGCCGGAGGGGCACCTCAAGCAGGTGCCTTCTTCTTGTCTGGAAAGTGGACAAGAAGGCAGGAGCTCCTGTACCCAGGTTGTGACCCTGAGGATGGAGGCACCTGGTGACCAGACCAGGCCTGGGCTGCCTTCATCCAGTCTTTTTGTGAAAGAAATCACCTTTCATTTGCTTAAGTCACTGCTGTGGGGATAGTAGAACACAATTCCTAGCTGACACAGTTTCATTTGAACTTAGAGGGAATCAGTGCCTCAAACAGGTAAACTGATCGAATTTCCTAAATCAGCAAAGCCGAGGTCCAACCATTCCACCTTGGGCACCCGGTCAATGTGGGCCCCGCAGACTGACCGTGGAGGGGCACCCAGCACAGCAGGGGGGGACCACAGGGCTTTGCAGCCCCAGCGCAGAAGGGGCGCTGGGAGCGCCCCCGGCCAGCTGGGTGTGCTGGGGCAGCTCCGCCCTCACTGAGGGTCTCCAACACACCCGCAGTGGTCCCCTGGGCTGCTGGGCAGAGGGCCTGGGGCTCCCTGAGTTTCCCATATGCACTGAGGCAGGGTGAGGGGAGGTCCTGGGAGGCGCCCCAGGAGCCTGGAGCGGAGAGAGGGCAGGTGGCAGCCGCGAGCAGAACTGGTGGCAGCAGCAGCAGCCTCGGGCGCGGGCTGATCCCGTGCCTTGTGAGCCTGCTGTCCCCAGGGATTCGGGGGACCAGAGGGTGAATTAAGGCAAAGATTCACTCTGGTGTAGGAACGGCGCAAATGTTATATGGCCTCCATACCTGGGGACAGCCTCAGTTTCTTCTCTAAAAACGGGAAAACTCATCCTCCTAAGGGGGTGAGGAGTATATGAATGACTGGAGTGGAATCACTGTGCACAGCTCCTGGGTGGGGGTAACCCATTCATTCCTTCCATTGAACAGTCCGAGTCCCCTGAGCTGCCCGGTCTCTTGACAAGTGCCTTTGGCCCCACAGTGGGGCCCAGAAGAGTGTGGAGGGGTGGGCACCAGGTCCTGGGGAGCCTCTGCTGCCATTGCCGTCTCAAGGTTCAGGTGACCCACTGAATTTCACCCAACTCAAGCTGCCCAAATGAGGGTGCCCCGGGCCCCGGAAGGTAGAGTGCGGAGAAGCCCAGAGACATGCTGAGGCAGGCGGTGAGGGGCGGGGCCGAAGGGGCAAGTTCAGAAGCACGTGCAGGGCAGGGAGGTTTCTCATGCACCCACTCCACCCCCTGCCGCGCAGTGAGCCTGCCATGCCACACGGCAGGGGGACGCAGAGCTCGGGGAGGGGGGGGAAGGGAGCCAAGGAAACAGCTGAGCCCAGGACAGGCCGCCAGAGGCCCTGTGAGGGCAGAAGGATTGCCCAGGTGTGAGGGCCTGGCGGGCACTGGCTCTGTGGGCTGCGGTCTGGGAGGGAGGAGGTGCTAAGCCTCCTGAGAGATTTAAGCCCTTAGGGAGAGACACCCCAATGGGGGCGTCTGTTTTAAAGCTCCCGTGAGTGGGTGCTACCCACAGGCAAATGGCGGGAGTCAGAGTCCCCAATTCCAGGTGACCAATCCACTGTAAACATTGACTTGTCATCTCTGGGCCTGTGAGGTCTGCTTTCTTCCTAGGTCCCAAATAGGCGGTGATCCCGTCCTTTGTAGTTTATTATAAGACTGAGTTCTGAGCTGGAAGAGAGGCCCAGTGGGGAGCGAGGGCAGGTCCGGCAGCGGGATGCCCACCGGCAGCCTCGGACCTGCCCCCTGCCCCACTGCGCAGAGAAGGCCGCTGTCCTGGGGCATGCCTGCCTCGCCCAGCACAGTCTCGATTTCGTCAGCACCGTGCTCTCCCAGCTGACTTCCCTCCCCACAGGCCTTTTCTAGAAACCCCCTCACCCTCCGATCACTGCTCTTCACTTGTATCGGGCTTTTCTGCAGCTGTGAGTTTGGGGTTGATAACCGAACCCCGCAGAGCCTCTGGTATACAATGAGACTAATACCATCACTCGAGCCCCCCTTTCCTGAGGTCTCACGGTGTGGGGAGAGGAGGAAGGGACATCGTGGTTGGGGGTGACCAGGCACAGTGGGAGCTGGGGGCTCTGGAAAAGTTCCAGCAGGTCCCAACCCTATTAATGAACATTAGAATCCATTTCAGCCCGGCTGGTGTGGTTGAGAGTCGACCCATACACCAAGAGGTCGCTGGTTCGATTCCCAGTCAGGGCACATGCCCAGGTTGTGGGCCCGATCTCTAGTGGGGGCATGCAGGAGGCGGCCAATCGATGTTCCGTCTCATCGATGTTTCTCTCTCTTGCTCCCTCTTACTTCCTCTCTCTTGAAAATCAATAAAGGGAAAAAAATTTTTTTTTTTAAAAATCCATTTCATTTGTACCCTGCTTCATTGTACAAGGGATTTGTAAAATTTCATACAACTTTATAAGATAATACAATAGCTGAGAAGGTGGGTAAATCAGCTAAGTAAACGCATACTTCATAGAATATAAGCCTCTGAATAACTGCTACCATATTTTGTTCAAAGTGGTGCCCAGTGATGTCATGACGTGTGGAGACAACAGGACCACAGGGAGCCGTGCCCAGGGCCCCTTTGGGATGCCTGTCACTGGGCCCCACTCCCTGCAAGGTTGTCCTGCCGCCTCTCGCAGGGGTCGGCAAATGATGGCCCATGGGCCAAATCTGGCTCTTTAGCTAAGAATGTGTTTCTATTTTCAAATGGCAGGAAAAAAATAAAAAGGATTAGTAGTACTCTATGACACATGCAAATTATGTGAAATCGCATTCCAGCTCCTATGATTACATTTAACTGGAGCAGAGCCACGCCCACCCGTGGCAGACTGTCTGCCCGGCACCCGTGCTGCAGGGGCTGAGCGCTCGAGGTGTCTGGTCCCAAGAGCCTCCCCACGCGCCCTCTGGCCCTGCAGGAGCCTTGCAGACGGCTGCTCCGAGCGGCCTCCGGCGTGGCTGTCCTCTCCCTGCCTCTTGCCTCTCTCTTTCCCAGGAGTCCGGCCTCCCTCACTCTCTGAAACTCTGGCCCTTGAAAGCCAACACCACAGGGACCTGCAGACACGGCCCGGCTCAGTTCCCCGGGCAGCAGGGGTCAGCGCATGAATGATTGAGAGCATCGGCTAGGCCCAAAGCCTCCTTCCAGCGCGAGTTTCAACTTCTGTCATCGCCCACTTTCTCCCAGGGCAGCTGAGAAATACTAAATAAACGGGGGCTCTGGCCAGCGGAGAGTGGCGTGGCCAGCAGTGGGCATGAAAGGGACGAGAAGGATGAGCAGCGGCCCCCAGGGCACTGCAGTGGACGGACCATTAGCAGTTCGAGTCTCACAAGAGGCATCATGGTGGTCAGCCGGCCCCCAACTCCGGTGGAACAGGAAAATGGACAAAACCATCTTCACTCCGGCTGCAGAAACAGGCTCCTCAGAAGCGGGTCATTCAGAATCTCTCCAGGAGCCAGACTCTATGATCGTGGGTGCGGCTTCCTCAGTTGCCTCTTTCCCACATCTCCTTCCCATGCCCTGGTTCCTGCCGTGTTCTGATGACTTTGTTGGACCCTGGGCCTGGCTCTGGTGAGGCCAGAGCACGGAACCAGCCATGGCCCTGCCCGGCACCCCCAGGCTGTTCCCCCAGCCATGGCCCCGCCCCGGCACCCCCAGGCTGTTCCCCCAGCCATGGCCCCGCCCCGGCACCCCCAGGCTGTTCCCCTAGCCATGGCCCCGCCCCGGCACCCCCAGGCTGTTCCCCCAGCTCTGCGATCCCCCAGGCACTGAGAGTTGGGACCAGGAGTGACCTTAGACATCAGGTCGTGCAGCCCCTGACTTGAGAGAGGAGGAAACCGAGGCAGGGCTAATGGAAGCTGCCTAACCAGTCATGCATCCAGTCAGGACCACGCTCCCCCTGGACCACTCTCTTCTCCTTCCACCGAGGCTCAGCTGGGAGGCCATTTCAATGCCCCCGGCTCGGTTCAGGAAATTCTTCTCCTGAAGATATTCAGGTTTGGCTCAGGTTTGACTAGGCTTCTTTTTAGTTTGATTTCTGGCTAAATAAACAATCTAGGGGCCCAGCCTGGGGCTTGGCAAAACAAACTGATGATGGCACCTTCTCTTTTGCCTCTGTGAGCACATGCGGGGTCCAGGGAGCCGGCCCCTTGCCCCGGGGAAGAGCGTATGTGCCAGCCGGGAGCAGTGAGAAGTCTCACCTCCGGCCTTCATTCCCCCCCGCCAGCAAACGGAGGCACAGGGTTAGAAAGGATTTTCCCCAGGGGAGGTCCAGGCAGGAAGACAGCACAAAATGGGGAAGGCCTGGCCCTCTGGACCCCGAAGGTAGAAGGGGAGGGTTCTGTGGTCTGAATGCAGTATGTCCCCCCAAATTCACAAGTTGAACCTAATTGCCAAGGTAATGGTTGAAGGTGGAGCCTTTGGGAGGCAATTAAGCCATGAGAGCAGAGCCCTCAGAAATGGTTCGTGTTCTCATAAAGGAGACCCCAGAGAGCTCCCCTGTCCCTCCTATCACATGAGGGTACCATAAGTTTGCGACACGGACGAGGGCCCTCAGTCAACCAGGCTGGTGCCCTGATCCTGGGTTTCTGCCCTTCACAACTAGGAGAATACATTTCTGCTTACACCAGCCTGCAGGACTAGTGGGGAGGGGAAGGTGACAGAGGGGAGGAGATAATGAGCAGTAGGAGGGTGCCTGGGCTCTGGGAGGGGGCCCCTTGAAGGCCACGCCCCCCAGCGACACAGCCACAGCGGAGAGCAGCCACCGTGGGCCCTGAGAGGTCGCCTTGCTGAGCATCTCCCATGATGTGGACAATCTCCCTACCAACCTTGGGGGAAGGCCTGATTAGTTACTGACGAAATAAAGAAGGAATCTGTCTTATGACCATCCGAGTTGACAGGTGTCTGAATTTTGTAATCTGGCCATGTTGACTTTGGTTCGAAGAGGACATCCCATTTTCTTCAGACCTTACACCCTGATTGGCTCTAAGCAACAGCACTGCCTGGGCTATTCCTCTGAAGACATGACTAACTTTCCCCTAGGCCCGGGTCCCCAGCCCCTTACCTCCTGGGGCCTCTCTGAGATCAGGATGAACCCGTTGTCGTCGATGGTGAAGCAGTCCAGGTCCTGGGGAGAAACCGGAAGGGAGGTGAGGCCAGGCCCTGCCACCGACCCCCTGGGCCCCCTGCCTGTCCTGACATTTGGGAAGGCAGGTCTCCAGTCTAGTGAGAAGGTGCCCTCTGTGGAGCCCGGCACTGCAGGAGAGGGGCAGCTGGGAGGGAGGGCAGCTGGCCCATCAAGGGGACGTGGGTTGAGGGGTCCGTGGCTCCCACTTCCATACTCTTCCCACGGGGAAGGACTTACACTGTCCTGACAGCTTTGTGGGCACGGCCCATCCCCCGCGCTGCACTGGAAGGAAGAAGAGACATGGTAGTGTGTACATGCCCGAGTGTGTGCCCGGTAGACCTGTGGCATGAGAGTGGGAGCTCTGTGTGAAGTACATTTGTGTTGTGTGTTGATGTGTGGGGACCGGTGGATGTGTGTTTATGGTATGCTAGGTTTGGTGTGTGTAATGTATGGTATATGTGGTATGTGTAGGGTATGTGCAATGTGTATATGTTGGTATATATGTGGGCGTGCATGTATGTATTTGATGTAGGGGGCGTGGTAGTGAGGGCGGGGCACGGAAGCAGGACCCTTGCCGCCTGCAGGGAGGTCAGCCGTATTGCCGGGAGCCTCAGGGTGGGGGCTTCTCACTGTCCCATGTCATCCTGCAGGATGTGCGGCCAACCCCAGGCTGCCGGGCTGGTGCTCCTTCCCCCTCCCCTCCCTTCCGGCTTCATTCTCTGGTCCCCGAAACCTGTTCAAAGTGAGGGCCTGGCAACAAGTGAATGGGACCATGGAACAGAGGAGGCTCCATGCCTTGGGGACAGCTTCGGGCTGGCGGGGCTGTGGAAGACAGTGGGGAGCCCCAGAAAGCCCAGGAGAGGCCAGGTCTGAGGGTGCTGGGAGCAGAGGCAGGGGAGGAGGAGGCGGGACGGGAAGGGCTGTGGGAAGGCCATGCTCAACTGGTGGACCGCACACTGGGCCTGGGTTCTGGCTGCAGGGACCGAGCAGGGCGGTCGCCTTACTCTGCTGTGTGGGCGTCTGGGGCAGCAGAGACCTAGTGAATGACAGGCCAGGCCCAGAGGGGGCGCGGTGTCCTCCCCTTGTCCCGGGTCTAAGCTGAGAGACAGCCCTGGGTGAGGGGGCCAGAGATGGAGGCCCCAGGCAGAGGAGCGAGGAGGCGAGGAACCAAGAAAGGCAGAGGAGAGGACCCAGGAGCTGCCGGTGGCCCAGGAGGGAGGCCGGGAGGCCGTGGGGCAGCCTGGAAGCCTCTGAAAGTGCAGCCCCTCTTCCCCGTGGAGAGGTTGGGGATCCCTCCGGCTGGACCGGCCCCACCACCATCACACCCACCTGCTGTGTGGCTGCCCAGAAGGTGCGCTGCAGGAAGTCCAGCCTCATTTGGACGCCCACCGCTGTGGGGGAGGGGTGGCGGGAGGGAAGAGAGTGGGAGAGAAAAACAGATTCCCGTTAAAGGGGCCCCAGCAGCGGGAACCGAGGGAGAGAGGACACCAGGCGGGAGCTCCGAGTCAGCCGGCCGGCAGCACGCGGACTGAGGTTCCTGGGAGTGGGGTCAGGGACAAAGCAAGAAAGACTGGTGGCTTCTGTGTCTCCACAGCAGACGGCACCAGAAAATGGTCCAAGAGAAAGATGAGGCCTGGGTTCTAGAAACTGTAAATTGAGGACGGCATTCATCCCAGATCTGGGGGAACTCAAGGTGGTGCACTGGGTAGATCATTCTTCCTTCCCCACAGGTGAAAAAGTAGAGGCAGAGAGACCAAGCCCCTTGCTCAAGGTCACGTGACTAAAAATGGTGGAATTCGGGCCACTGTGGGTTGAGTAGCTCAGGGGGCCTTCTAGATTTCCAGCCTGACCCAACAACCTCTCTTGTACCCAATTTCTCCCAGATTTGCAGGTAGGTCCCAGAAAACTCGAGACTGTCTCAGCCTGCAAAAACCACTCTTTTGATATTGCCACTTACAAGGGCCACCCATGCCCCTTTGGTTCCCAAATAGGTGCTGAGGACGTAAGCTGGTGCTCACATCCGAAGAGAAATTTGGCACCAAAGAATAGAAAAAAGGGGGGGCTTATCTTGAAAAGAAAAAGAATAAAAAAACTAGGCCGACTTCCTACGGCCTGGGATAATAATATCGAGAACGTGCTGAGCGCCAGGGGCGTTTCGGGCCTGAGCTGGTGTCATCCGGTTCTATTATTATTCTGACTTCACAGCTGGGGAAACAGAGGCTCACAGAGATTACATGGCTTACCCAGTCACCCAGCCCCTGAGACAGAACCAGGGCCCTGGGTCTGTCGCTGAGGCTCTTAGCCTCTCTGTTCCCTGGGCTGACTCAGTCCAGGGGTTCAGGAGTTGAGGGGCAAACACTCGCCCCCTCTGGGCTTCAGTTCCCTCATCTGTGAAGTGGGAAAGCACCTGGGCTCCTAGCCAGGATGCCGTGTTCAAGAGACATTCTGCAGTCACCCCAGTGGTATTCATTGGAGACATTTCCCATCACAGTCACATGCTAACTTCCTGAGACTTGGATGACTCTTCTGAAATGGACCGGACTTCTAGTAGTGCCCAGATACAGACTCGTATCCTTTTGTTTTTTCTTTTTTTTATCCTCACCCGAGGACATTTTTCCATTGTTTGTTCAGATAGAGTGGGAGGGAGAGAGAGGAAGAGAGAGAGAGAGAGAGAAACATCGACGTGAAAGGGACACATCGAGTGGCTGCCACCCACACAACCAACCAGGGCCAGGGACAAACTGCAATCAAGATACGCGCCCTTAGCAGGAACTGAACCCGGGTCTCTCTGGACTGCAGGCCAATGCTCTAACCGCTGAGCCAAACCGGCCAGGGCTCCTTTTGTTTTTTCAATATAGAAAATCCTAGAGAAATCTGATGGGAAAAAAAAAAATGGGAGAGACCAGGGGAGAGAGAGTCAATGGGCCAGAGTTCCCGCCCCAGGTTGGACGAGAGCCTTTATTCTCTAGCTTCAGCCACATCAGAATCACCTAGGTGGTTAGTTAAAACCCATCCCCAGAGCTTGTCATTCAGTAGGTCTGGGTGGGGCCTGCGAATTTGCATTTCTCAAGTGCTCTCAGGTGACGCTGCTGCTGCTGTCCAGAGACCGTATTTTGGGGACCACTGCTGTAAAACATCCCTGTCTGACCAAACTTTCTAAGAGGGGGAGCTGTTCTAGGTCTGAATTGCCTCACACTGCAGCCACTAGTCACATGTGTCTTTTGAGCCCTTGAAATGTGGCTCCTGTGACTGAGGACCTGAGTTTTAAAATTTTTATTTAGTTTTAATTAATGTCAATAGCTACCTGTGCCTGGGGGCCACCATATTGGACAGCGCAGTTCTAGAGTCTCATGTTTGCAGATGAAGACACCAGGCCTGAGAGCCCCTCCCCCCTGGTCTCCTGGCACTTCTTGGGCTGGAACTGTGGCTCCCCCTCTGGAACAGGCCCTGTGGTGCGGCAACGTGTGCTTCTATGGGGACTTCTTTGCTGCTTCAAGGTCCAGGTGGGCCCACTTCTCCTTGGTGAGACACAGACACAGCAGGTGCCGCCGGAGGCCCTGGTTGCCACGCCCCTCCTCCCTCTCACATCTCTCCTCCTGAGGCTGCAGGGGCCCTCAGTTCGTATTCTTCCTTTGAAGACCACTCTTGATATTCATCTTAGACAGAGTTTTTTTCACCTTTAGAAAAAGGAGTGAAAGAGGAGGAACCTTCTCTAGAAATGGTCAGAGGGGAGTCACTAACGCTTAGGGTGATCAGACCTTTGGGATTCAGGAAAGCTTCTTTACTCTGGTCCTCGGCCCCTGCGGGCAAAGCGTCCTCAGACTATTTCTAGAACGAGGCTCTGTCTTTCTATCACTGGGTCAGTGCCAAGTCTCCTAGAATCACGACATTTCTGAGCTGGAAGAAGTTCTATGATTCTAACAGAGGGAGTCTTGAGAAGGTGGGGTTAATACTTTCTGAATGAGCCCTGGACGGTTTGGCTCAGCGGTTAGAGCATCCACTCGAGGACCAGAGAGTCCCGGGTTCGGTTCCCGCTGAGGGCACGTACCTCGGTTGCAGTTTGTCCTCGGCCCTGGTTGGGGTTGTGTAGGTGGCAGCCGGTCGATGTGTCTCTCTCACCATTGATGTTTCTCTCTCTCTCCCTCCCGCTCTATCTGAAGATGAATGCAAAAATGTCCTCAGGTGAGGATTAAAAAAAAAAGGAAAAGACTTACTGTTACTTAAAAAAAAAACACAAAAAACTTTCCAAATGAAACAGGTTTTTGAGGCTCTTGGGTGGAAATGGGGCACAGAGCAGATTCCCCCACTAGGTCCCTCTCACAGCTGGACTATGAGCTCCTCCAAGGCCAGCTCCGGGTCCTGTGCATCCGGGTATCCTTTGCAGAATTTACAACATTCTAACTGCCTCCTGACGTCTCTGCTCGAGTCCCCAACAGGCATTTCAAACTTCACATGTCCAAAACTTAACCCTGGCGTTTCCTCCCAAAACCTGACCCTCCTTGAGATCCTTTTCCATCTGAGGGCACATTCTCCACCGAATTGTTTTCATGTTCCTCCATCCCATCCAAGTTCTGCAGACCTTATTCCAAATCTACTTCCCTCCCCTGTCACCAGTCTGGGCTGAACTATCATCTCACTCACTCGGACTAATGGAATAAACCCCTTAGAGGTTTGCCTATCTGTTCAGGATCTGTTCTGCACACGGCCATGAGACTGATCTCTCTGAAGATCGAGTCACAGTCACACCCTTGCTTCACACCTCCCGGTGCCTCCCCACTGCTCTGTGAACAAAATCTGAAGTCCCGTGTGATGTTGCCGACAAGACTCTAAAGAGCTGGCTCTCTCTCTCTCTCTCTCTCTCTCTCTCTCTCTTTGTTAATCCTCACCCTAGGATATTTTTTCCATTAATTTTTAGAGAGTGGAAGGAGGAAAGGGGAGAGAGAGAGAGCAACATAGATATGAAAGGAACACATCGATTGGTTGCCTCCTGCATGCACCTCAAGCAGGGCTGGGGATGGAACCTGCAACCCAGGTATGTGCCCTTGACCAGACTTTAACCTGTGACCCTTTGTGGTGTGTTGGCCAATGCTCTAACCACTTAGCACACCAGCCAGGGCTCTCTCATCACTCTTTTAAATTCTAAGCAACATTGCTTATTTATTTTTATTCTCAATTATTGTTCGTCTCACACCATTAGAATGGCTATTAGCAGGCAAGGGGGTTGAGTTCTGCTCCCTAGCACCTAGAATAGTACCCAGCACAGAGTGGGGTGCAATAAAGAAATACTTGGGAATCCCACTGTGTCAGCCACTTGATTAAGAAGCAAATTCTACAAGATCTCTTTTGTCCCTTGCCTCTGGGGTTCGAGACCGTGTTGAACTCCTTTTGCCAAACAGAGGCCTGCCCTCTTACAGATGCTGGGCTTGAGATGCCAGAGGCTTAGCCGTGCTCGGAGTCCCTTGAAGACCTAGGAGGAAATTCACTGAGAAATGGGAATTTAGGTAAGACACAGAGAACTTCCTCATGGTAAGAACTGTTAGATGCTGGCTGGTATGGGACGGGGACGGTGGTGAGCAGCATGGGGACATTCTTAACAACAACCGGCTGTATTCTGTCGTGCCCAGTGGATGGTGCCCCTCGGCCTTAATCATTTCCCATCTTCTGTTCAACTCTTGCCTCACAACCCGAATCATGCTTTTCCACCCCAGACACTGAGAAAGCCCAGCCCTCTCTCCGGGAGACTCACGGGGCAGCTTGGAGGCCTGTTCTGGTCGACTGCTACCTTGGGTGGTCGGTTACTGTCAGAGCCTCAGTGGACCTTCACCTGGGGGAGCACCAGGCTGGCCACCCCCTCCCAGCACCTCCCAAGAAGCCTGCTGTGTGCAGGAGCTGATGCCTCATGGCATTGTTCGTAGGCAGGCTCAGAACTAACTCATGGTAAACAGAGAAATTCAAGCAAAGGGGCCCAGGGAATGTGAGGTACTTGGCCTTTGAGGGTGGCTTTCCTGCACCCCTCATGGGTTATTAAGAGACCCCGCTCATGCCTCTGTATGTTGGTCCTTGTTTTAGACCCTGACCTTGATCCCCTGATAGAGGAGAAACCAGACCCCTTCTTCTGGCCCAGTCTGTACCTCTTCCTCCCCTCCCCCGCCTGCTTCTCCACAATGAGCTCGCCCTTCCCTCCAAGCAGCTTTTCTGTACCATCTCCTTTGCCAGCAGACAACCTAACAAAGAGCCTCAATAAGGCCACAGGCGGCAGACAGCTTATCGAGATGAACCCCTTTGCTCTGCGTCCTGGCTGTCACCTCAGTGCTGCTTTGTCATCACAGAAGGCAAAACAAAACAGCTGTGTATGCACACACTCATTCACACCTTCACACACACTCATGGACACCTGAGCACACACACAGTCATGCACACCTGAGCACACACCCTCACGCATATGTGCACACACACCCTCACGGACGCCTGTGCACACACACACTCATGCACACCCGCACACACACTCATACACGCCTGCACATACACACTCATGGACACCTGTGCACACACATGTGGACACCTGTGCACACACACACATGCACAACTGCACGTGCACACACACTCATGGACACCTGTGCACACACAGTCATGCACACTTGTGCACACACACAGTCATGCACACCTGCACAAGTACACACTCACACACACCTGAGCACATCCAGAGAAATTATTCCTATCAGGGGCCATACTCCCGAGGAGTCAGAAACTCTGTTCCCCCCTAGCTCTTATGTCTACACTGTCCTTCCTCCTCTGCCTGGATAATCCAGCCCGCAGACTGGGGGGAGGAAGGACCCCTTTCCTAACACACGCTGAGGAGTCTGCAGGTGCGCAGTGAATCCCTGGACCACAGAGTGCCATTGCCCGAAGGAGACCAGAGATCTCAGTCACTCTACCTCCTCATTCTATAGGCCCGAACGCAAGGCCCAGGGCTGTCAGTTAATTAACCAGTTATTAGCTAGTTTAGCGTTTTTCAACTGGTGTGTTGCAAGATTTTTAGAACATACAATACCTGACTATTTAGTCAGGGGCACTGACCTCTTTTCTCATAGCTTATCAAATAAAAATGACAACAGTCAACACAACAATAGCTGTCCCGTGTGAATGAATCAAAATCACACCTTTTTTTTTTTTTTTGGTCAGATCAGCAAAAAACACATGTTTTTGGTGTGCTGCAGAATTTTAGTAGTTAGTTTATGTTTCAGTACTTAGTTTATGCCAAGAGATGAAACAGGTTGAAATCGCTGAGCTGGTTCATGAGCAGCAGAGTCTGACTGGGCCCTGGGGCCCAGGCGCGGCTCGTCCCCAGCCCGCACTCAGCTCTGGCTGGGCAGGGCTCCTGGACCCGCTCACAGAGTCGGAACCTGGGCAAACCAAGCACAGAAAGCTGCTGTACGTTTTCTGTGATAACCACAGAGCAGCCCAAAGAAAGGCCATAGATCAGAGGAGGTCAAGTCCCTGGAGTAACCAGGGAAACTTCACAGCGGAGGTCACGCTCAGGTGGAACTCTCCCGACAGCATTCCAGCCTCAGGGAAGGACGCACTTTCTGGGGCTGACAAGTGGGAAGTGCGTTTAGGGGTGGGTGGGAGCGGTTAGCTTGAAGGACCAGATGAGATGGCTGTGACATCTGTGTAGGCGAGAGGGGACTTCTCAGGGGCAGAGTATGCTCTCTCCTCCTGGGACAGCAGCCCGGGCCCTCACTGCTGTGTGGCCCAGCAGAGCAGACAGAGGAGGGTGCAGGAGCGTCCTGTCAGGAGTGTCCTGAGTAAAGGGGGTTTCTCCACCCCCAGTTCTGATGGTGAAATCAGGGGGGATGGACTGGATACCCCTGGCATTGCCGACATTGCCACACTATCTGCCATCTGCTCGTCAGGCCAGGTTTAAGAACGGCAAGGGTCATTTAGGGGTCAGCGCCCCGGCCAGGCTCCTTCTTGGCTTAGCTTCCTTTGCTTTGGATGGGACCCTGGCCATCTCTTGGAACACGGTTCTCCACTGCCAGGTCCTGCCTGGTCAGTAGAGAGGCCGCTGAGATCTTGAACACCCCAGGGCACCACAGCCCACCTGCCCACTGCAGTTTGCTCCACTCAACACCTGGACCAGTGGTCACCGAGGCTCAGTGGCCTCTGCTGACCGTGCGACCTTGGCTGTGAGGCTCCGGCTCATTGTGAGGACAGCTGGCCGGTGATCCCCCCTGAGCCCCTCCAATTACCCTCCTGAAATAAACGGTCCTTTGAGAGAAGGACTCCGTTTGCCTTCTCCCCAGACAGTACGGGAGATCCCCCATGTCTCTGAACGGGAGACAGCCCCAGCTCCCAGGGGCGGCTCTGCGGCTGGGTCCTGACCCTCTTTCCCCGAAGGGAAGGGAGAGGGGCAGAGGCTGCGAAGGGGCGGCGGCGGGGGGCGGGGAGAGCCCGGAGGCGCGGGAAGGAAGATGGAGGTGCGTGGTAGAGCAGCGTTTCTCCTCGCTGGAGTTGGGAGCGATTAATCCACAGGCCTTTTTTTTTCCACTGAAATGTGAGCGTTTCAAGGGAGACGCGGTCCTCCCGGCCCGCCGCGAGCGCCTCTGCTGTGTGTGTGCGCCTGTGTGCGCGCGCCTTGCCTGTGTGTGCTCCTGTCGCTGTCATCACAGATGTACCCCCAGCTGTCACTCCATTGCTCCGTCTCTGTGCTCGCGCGTGCTCTCTCCTCCTCTCCCCTTCCTTCCCCTCTCCTCTCTCTCTCCCTCTGTCCCTCCCTCTTTCCCTCGCAGTTTGTTATTGACCCAGCAGCCCCGTCCCCTTGGCAGCCGCGCAGGCATTTCTTCTCCCGAGCTGTTTGCTGCGTGCCAGGTCCCCGCTCCCGGTAGACAGGGACTCAGTGCCCCTGTGCTCTGCTTGGCTGTGTTTTCTGGATTTCTCCAGGAATCCCAGGAGGGGCTCCCTGGACGGTTCACAGCTACTTGATTTAAGAAGCTCGAGGTCAGGTGAGTGCTGAGCCTGGAGGGAAGGAATAGAGGATTCCTGGGGACAGGGTGGCGGGCATGGGGCTGTGGGTCCCATCTTTGCTGGGTCTCTGCCCTGCACAGAGAGATCCCTGCTGTCTCCTGCCTGGGGGCAATTGCTGGGCTGGGGAAGTGCTCAGGACATCTGGGCAGCCCACAAATATAGGACGCGGGGAGCTCTGACCTCACAGTCCTGGGGACATGAGCAAGGATTCTGCTGGGGTGGGGGAAGCTAGGGAAGGATGGGGGGGCAGGGCAGTGCCAGTGCCAGATGACAGGCCTATGTGGCACAGAAACCAGTCCCTGCGGCACGGGGACAGCCAGCCAAGAGCCCTGTGCCATCTGCATGCCCAGCTCAGCAGACAGCCTGAGGAACTTGGGTTCTGTGGGAAAGAAGGTGCTGGTGACTGGGCTGGCACAGAGCACGGTGGCTCAGGGTGGGGGTGGCAGTCTGGAGCACTGTGCTGTCTGAGGCTTGGTAATTGACCTCATGGTCCTGGCCTTTTTACAGGATGCCCTCAGGGTGGGGTTGTGGCCTTCAGGCAGCTGTCCTTGGACAAGGCTGCCGAGGAACACTCCCCTGGCTGGACATGGGTTCTCACAGCTGTGGGGGAGCCACCCTGGTGGGGGCGTGACTGGGAGTGGATGGGGCAGAAGAGCCTCGCAGCTCTTCCTTGGAGAGCCCCAGGCCCTGCTCCTCGCTGGCGGCCAAGGCTTAGTGGGGGTTGTGGACTCAGCTAGGGGGAGCGGGTGGTCTGCAGCCAGGCCATGCCTACCTGGCTTCCCCACCCAGTGGGGCATGGGCGCCCCGAGTGGGAGCAGGACAGCAGCTCTCAGCAGTCCCGAGGCCCATTCTGACAATGCAGAGAGGGGGTCTGACTGGGCGTCCTGACCTCCCACTCAATTCCAGGTCAGCTGCTTTGTCTTCGCCCTGAGCTGTGCAGTCTGTTTCCGGGGGTGATGGTGCTGAGGTTGGCTCCTGGCTGTCAGGACATGTTGGGCATCACCTCTCTGTGACTCAGATTGACACTCTGCAGCTTAGATAACTACATCAGCTGGGGGAGGGGAGGGAAGCTGAGCACGTGGAGCTGGGCGGGGGAAGTCCGGCCTGGAGGGAAACCCACAGCAGCTTCCTGCTCTTCCCACCCCACCTCCCCACTGGCACAGTCCCTGGTGCTGCCTAAGACGGAGACCAGGAAAGCCAGCCGGGGGTGGCAGGAGAAGGAGGGAGGTTTTTAAAGCAACCGATCTGGTTTCTTTGGGGTTTGGCTGGAAGCTGTGTCTGGGGCCCGGAAAAGCAAACCCTGTCCCAATTCCTAGGCATCAAAGCTGGGGTGGGGAGCTGCTTTGGGCTGAGTGGGCAGCATGCCGAGGGTACAGGGAGTTTATGTAACGGAGGGGTACCTGGGGCGCTCTGGGCTGGGAGAAAAGGAGTTTAAGCAGAGGCAGCCTCTCCCCTGTCAGAGCTTCCCTCCCAACTCCCCGGTCAGGCCCCTCTGCCCCTGCCAGCCCGCCCGAGCCCAGGTCCAGGGCCTCAGTGAGCAGTGCGTAGCTCCTTCACGAGGAGTGACTTGGGGCTTTTCTGTTCTGCTTCCCAGAGGGTCTGTCTGGGATTGGGAGCCTTTGACGAGAAAAGCAGGTGCAGGGAGCCAGGGGTGAGACAGGGGAATGCATTTTAAAATGAACCAGAAGGGTTTGTCTGTTCCAAGTACAAATATAGAGATTTTTAAAAGCCTGCTTCCGCGCTGCCTGGGCAGCATGTGTTCGGGCATGGCCGGCAGGGCAAATTCGAGAACGTTTCCTGAAAGGGCCTGGCCGGCCAGGTGGGAGGCAGCAGGTGGGGAGCCCAGCACTGTGTGGTCCTTGCCACACAGGGCTCAGCGTGGGACAGCCCTCCATCCAGGTCCCTCTTGCCCTCTGGGAGGGTGGGGAGGACAGGGTCCTTGCAGCCCTGAGAAGTGGCTCCAACCTTGGCCCCGCCTCTCACTAGCCGGTGGCCTTCACCCCTCTGCAGAGCAAAGGAGATGCAGAGGGGGCTGCCAAGGGCCTTTCCCTGCCAGGTTCAGGGGTCTGGTGCTCAGGGGACCCGAGTCTAGGAGCTTGACCAAGGGGAGATACCAGGGAGGGAGTGCACCGCAGGGCCAGCACACTGCCTCGGGTCAGGGACCCGGGGCGGTGCACAGTGGGCATTTACCGGCTGTGTGGTTCGGACACTTGAGTTGGGGGGTGGCCGTGCAGAAGCCAGAGGAAGGGCGTGGATACCAGGCCTGTGGTGGGTTTCGTGGTGGTTTCTAGCTGAGTCTCAGCCCACCCCACTTGGAGGATTGACCTCCACCTGTAGGAGAGATGGCTGGGGCAGAGGCACGAGGCGGTCAGGGCTCCAGCCCTCCTAACGTGAGTGTGCGGGGAATGAGAGCAGGACAGGCTGCTCCGTGTGGGGGCCTAGGCCTGGTGACCCCGGGAAAGCAGATCCCACCCCCAGTCTAGGGGAGGCCACGCCCACTCAGCCGGCAGGAGCATTCTGCGCTTACTGCTGCCTCCCGTCCATCACCACCTTCCGCCCGCATCCCTGGAGCTCCCAGCCCACCCTCCTGGCCTCAGCGCCCAGCCCTCCCCAGGAGGGTTTCTAGAAAGCCCCCTCCACTCCTGCGGCCAGATCTTGGCCCCCTGGAGCTTTCCCTGCAGTGTCTGCGCTATTTCTGGACAGAGGGGCGGGGGGTGGGCTGGCTGGCATCTCAGTCCAGCAGGGCACAGACTCCGTCTGGTCGGTGGGAGGGGTAAGAACACTGTCTCTGTGGGAGCGAGTGAGTTCACGCCAGTTGACTGGGAGGAACTGCACCCGTGAAAGGTCGAAGCTCCCCCTCCCGCCCTCTCCTTCCTGGGTCCGGGACCCCGTGCGCAAGCAGGTCAGGACGAGCGGACCTGGACGCCTACGAAGGCAGCTGAGTTAGGAGCTTTGTCACTGGACTGCTCTGGCTAAAGCTGCGTTCTCCCCAATCTGAGGGAAGTGACTTAGTTTCCCTGCCTCAGTTTCCCCCTCTGTGAAATGATGTTAATTATAATACTAACCCCAGAGAGTTGCTATGAGGACTAAGAACATTATACACAGGCATTTGCAGCTATGATGATGGCGTCTCCCCAGACAGAAGCTTCTGGAAGGAGGCACTAATATCAGTACCCTCCCTCTGCCCAGGTCACTGTCACTCCAGGGCTGGTGCCTGGCTCCCAGAGACTGACCAGCATGGCCTCCTGGGAGGCGCCAGGTTCTGCTGGGAGAGAAGTGATCTAGCCCAGTTGTCGCAAACTGAAATATATACAAAGTGTCTGATCTTGTCAAAATGCTGATTCTGACTTGGCTGGCCTGGGGTGGGGCCTGAGATTCACATTCCTAAGAAGTTTCTAGGTGACCCATCTGCCGGTCCATGGACCACACTTGGAGTAGCAGGGGTTGGAACACATAACCCTGTGTTTCTGGTTCTCAGGGAGTTCCCCACTGGACCGTTCTTTAGCTCATCAGCCCTGCCCTGCATTCCTGGGCCTCCCAGAGAAGCCCAGCGAAGGAGGCCCCCCCTCTCTGGTGTCTCTGTCTCTGGGGCTGAGACAAAAAGTCCCACGAGGAGTGGAAGCAGGTCCAGCATCCAGAGCTACAAGGCTGTGGGACTTGCAGACAGGAGTTCTTTCTGGCAGGACCCCCTGACTCTTCCACTCCCATTCTCCATCCCGGGTGGGGCCTGTCCTCCTGGAAGGCGTCCGTTCTTCCAGCGGCTGGCCAGAGCCTGCTGCAGGGCTGTGCTCCGAGCCTCCTCATGTAGGTCACCCCCTTCCTAAAGGGGCTGGAAACGTCTGGAGGTGGGAAGGAGTCCTTTGGTTGGAGGTGTGCTGATGGGCAGAGGGCCCAGGAGCTAGAAATTGCTGGGCTCAAGCCCGTATATCCTTAAGGGTTGCTTCTCTGATGCCCAAGGAGGCAGGGTCAGCTCCCCAGGGAACACAGGTGCCCCTCATGGACCTGGGCACCTTGTTCCCATCACATTTCTCTAGAAATATGAGGGTCAACAGTGTCCTGCCACCTTGTAAGACACCGCCCGTGGGTCTGCATTGTGGAGACCTGGCTGCCGTGCTTTGCATGGTGACATCATTCTGGGGATGGGGCAGCAGGACCTGCACTCGAGGCCACCACCTCCACTGAGTGGTGCTGGCTGGTGAGCCCCTGGGCTCCCTTCTGGGAGGACACTGAGACCAGGGAAGGGTAGACGAGGTGGAAAAGGGCGTCTACTTGAAAGGAGAGAAGAGGAGGCTGAGGTGGAAATGGGGCCTGGGCTTGGGTGAGAGGGGTTCTCCACCACCTGCTTCCTGCAGGAAGCTGGATGGAGTGAGAGCAGAAGGTGGGATTGGGTCCCCATTCCCGTGTGGATCTGAGCAGAGAGCATGTCCTGGGGTAGGGACTGCCCTATAGGCTTGGCTTCAGACCTTGCTTCTGGCTGGAGGTGTCCCTGTACGTCTGTCTGCGGGGGGGCTTTCGGGAGCCGCCTGAGTGCTGATGGGAGGAGGAGCGCTGGAGGGCTGCCAACGGGGCCCGTGTGCACGCGTGTGAGCGCGTGTGAGCACGTGCCTAGCTGCGTGGCTCTCTGTGGGTGTGTGTTTGTACCACGTGCTGTGTTGGGAGCTGCAAGCACGTGTGTGGGAGCCTGTGTGCACCCCACATTAGTGTCTCCCACAGGAGCCATGCCTGGTGACACTCCCCAGGGAGTGGACGAGCAGCCAGGCTCAGAAGCCTGCAACTCCATCTCTGACCTGCCGTGTGACCTTGGGCAAGTTGGTCATTGCCTTCGTGCCTCGGGTGGCCGCTCACCTGCTCAATATTGTGGGTGCTGTGAGCATTCGCTAAGAGGGATCTTGCTGGAGTAAGAGATTGTTCTGAGGGTCAGGGCCTGAGGGACAGAGAGGGAGGACACTGCGGCCCGTGATGGTCGGTGACAGCTGTGTGTGGGCACGCCCGCAGTGGGCACGCCCCGCAGTGAGCTCCACGGGATGGCCCGCGGGCCTGCGCAGGCTCGGAGCGCGGCCTGTGCTCAGCAGTAGGGAAGCAGGCCCAGGTGTGCGGCTGGGGGACAGGAAAGAGATGTCCCACGGGCCGGCTGCAAGCTTGGCGTCCTCACATCTGCCAGGGGCTCGAGTCCAAGCTGGGCACATTCACCCGAATTCTCTTCTGGGGTAATTTTTGTGCTAGAGTAATTGTTAACTCTCCTCTCTCTATTAGATTGATTCTCACAGAAATTCCACCCATTGACTGTGACTGTCATCACTTTTAGAGCTAAGATCACTGAGGCCCAGAGAATCTGTGCTCTTGGTTTAAGTTATACGGCTAGGGAATGACCTGACAAGGATTTGAACCCAGAGCCCTGCCTGACCTGGGCGTCGGAGCCAGGAGCCTGCAGGGGCCCTGAGAGCAGCTGGGGAACACGGGACCTACCTGGGCATCTACCCCCGCCTCCCTCTAGGGCCTTGGGATCCACCCAGGAGGCAGTGCGGGGACCGGGCTGCTCCCCACACCCCACATCTGTGCCCAGGTGTTGAGACCCTCTGGCAGCCCCTGCAAGGCCTCAGAGCCCGGAGTCCTCCTGACCAGGCAGGGAAGGGGAGGAAAGACAGAACCAAGAGGCGGCAGGGCCCTCCCCTCCTGAGCAGCCTGCCCTCGCTGGGAGCACGGAGGAAGGCCCCGTGGGGCTGCTGGTCCTAAGCGGGTTCCCCCACCCTCCAGGAGACAGCTGCCACCAGGGTGATGGGGTGAGGGAGAGACAGCACGCGCTGCAGCAGAACCCTGGATGCCTGAGGGAAACCCTGCTTCCCCGTCTTGGAGCTGAACATGCCAGCTTCCCGGCAGCTCCTTCCCCCTCCGCAGCTGCCTGCTTAACGCGGCGCCGCTTCTGGGCTCCCGGAATTAGCCAGGCCTGTGGGAGTGGGAAAGGGCTGCAACCAGGACTCACCCAGGGCTGAACTTTCTTAGCAACCAAGAGAGGTCGGCCTCCGGAGCCCGCGGCGGGGCGGGGCTTGGGCAGGAGTGCCTTGGGGGCGGGGGGGCTGGGCTGCTGGCACTGTCCCCACCCATTCCCACCTCTCTCTGCCAGCCGGAGCAGCACCTCCACAGTCCCCTCTCCACCCCTGATGGGCTGGGGGAGCAGGCTCGGCTGAGGGCCCTCGGCCATAACCGGAAGGAAGTGGGCCCACAGGGGTCCTGTGTCCTGCTCACGAGTCAGCTGGGTTGGGGCAGGGCAGGTCCTTGAGACCCTGGGAAGGGTAAGTCCTCTTGCTGTCCCCTCTGGAAGAGACCTGCTTCCTGACTCCCTGGCCTGCCCCTTCGGTTCGCGATCTCACCGTCTCCTCGTGTCCCTGTCCCCTGCTCCACAGTGCTGCAGCGTGCACCCCTGAGCCACCGAGTCCTGTGGCAGCCAGCGTGGAGAAGTGGGGGGAGCAGGGCCACCCAGCAGCAGGAGCAGGGCCGGGCCGCACACCGGACCCAGTGGCAGAACCTGCGGAGGACCTGCTCTCTGCCTCCTCGGGGGCCATGGTAAGAGCGGCAGTGGGGCTGTGAGCAGTGTGGCCCGTGGCCTCCCTCTGCACCTCGCAGAGATGTCCCTCAACGTCCCCACGTGTGCATGGAAAGGCCCAGACACAGAGGAGGCCAAATGGCTCTGAAAGCATTTCAGAGACCAACACACCAGAGAGGGAACAAGAAGAGGCTGAGGGTGGGGACACTGGGGAGACTGAGGGCAATTCCTGAATCCCACAGCCCAGAGCTCAGCACCGTGTGTCAGACTGAGGGCTCCTGGGTCCCCGGAGCCCCCCACGCCACCCCCAGCACCCCAGGGAGGTTGAAGTCTTCCTAGTTTCTCTGCCCCTCGGTCCTCTCCCTCCGCTCACCCAGGGAACCATAGCTGGGAACAGGAGAGGGAATGACAGGAGTGTAAAGAGACACCGGGGCCCTCTCCCTAACCCCGGGCTGGCTGGGCTTGAACCTCAAATGCCTGTTTCCACCCATCGCCTTCTCTTTCTTTCTCAGGACTGACAGGTAGCGCGTACCAGGGGCTCCGCTGTCCCCAGAGGTGCAGGGCTGGGAGAGCTGCGGCATCCACCATGCTGGCCCTGGGCCACGGCCCCCAGCAGAGGACCAGGCTGGCCCTGCAGTGGAGGCAGATCTCCTGTGAGTGCAGTGGGATGGGGTGGGGGCGGGGTGGAGTGAGCTTGGCCTGCAATGCTGCACTCTGGGACTGCAGGGAGGTCACTGGGGCTGCAGGGAGGTCACTGGGGCTGCCGGGGGGTCACTGGGGCTGCAGGGAGGTCACTGGGGCTGCAGGGGGGTCACTGGGGCTGCAGGGAGGTCACTGGGGCTGCAGGGAGGTCACTGGGGATGCAGGAGGGTCACTGGGGCTGCAGGGAGGTCACTGGGGCTGCAGGGAGGTCACTGGGGATGCAGGAGGGTCACTGGGGCTGCAGGGAGGTCACTGGGGCTGCAGGAGGGTCACTGGGGCTGCAGGGCGGTCACTGGGGATGCAGGAGGGTCACTGGGACTGCAGGGAGGTCACTGGGGCTGCAGGGAGGTCACTGGGGCTGCAGGGCGGTCACTGGGGCTGCAGGAGGGTCACTGGGGCTGCAGGGAGGTCACTGGGGCTGCAGAAGGGTCACCGGGGCTGCAGGAAGGTTACTGGGGCTGCAGGAAGGTCACTGGGACTGCAGGGAGGTTACTGGGGCTGCAGGAGGGTCACTGAGACTGCAGGAGGGTTACTGGGGCTGCAGGAAGGTCACTGGGACTGCAGGAGGTAGAAGCTCTTCCCAGGAGGCCCAAGGTCTGGCTCTGGGAAGCCAGGGTTACCCTCTATATATGGCCATGCTTCTGGCACCTGTGACAGCTAAAGACACAGTCCCTGCTGAGAGCCTCAGTGGTTAGATCAGCAGCTGGAGGCCGTGACAGGCGGTTCTGTCTCCCCAGGTCCCTGGTCCTGAACCAGGAAGTCTGCCTCCACCCCAGTGGTCTAAGCAGGTGCGGCCCTGTTGCTCTAATGTGAGTCTCCCGCTTGTGTCACCTGCTGGGTGAACGTGGAGACCTCTCTTACACCTCAGTCTTCCCAACCCTGAAATGGGGGGGACATAGAGGGCTCTTGGGATGTGGTGCTGGAAGGAACCTTCAGGACCAGGTCCAGCGCCTCCTGGGTAGGAGGAAATAGGTCCTCCATTTCCCACAAGGAAACTGACAGAGTTGTCAGGGTGAGAGAAGCCCTGAGGATTCTCTTCACGGGCAGTCAAGGGCCTAGGGCAGCGAGGACGGGTTTGCCCAAAGCTGCGTGGTAAGAGGGAAGTGATGGCCCCAGGGACGTCCTCCGCCTGGCTGCTCCCCTGGCACAGTCCGCTGTCGGGCAGCCGCCTAGCGCCTAGCGCCAGCCGCCTGAATTATTCAGCACGCGGGAGTGGCCGATCCCCGGGCCACCGGATCCCCTTTCAGCCTCGTTCTGGAGTCACTCAACACCTCGCCACACGGGATTATGTTTCTTGTTACTAGGACTTCTCTGCTCTGCATTTCGTGGGGGTGGGGAATAGTGGCTTCTGGGTATGTGGAGCCTTTTGAGAGGGAAGCTGGATGGGTTGAATTGTTTTCTCAGGCAAGTGAAGCCCGGAGAAGGTTGATCATTAAATGGCATGGTGGGGGGCAGGCTGACCTGGCAGCAGGTGGGCTCAGGGGCGAGGTAGCCCCAGGTGCCCACGTGGCCAGGAAGGGTCTCCAGCCAGCTTCCACGGCCATGCCTGTGCTCATTTCCCCTCGAGAACAGAGAGGCTCAGGTGTCGGCCTTGCAGTGTCTCTGCTGTCATCGATCCTCCAGGCCGGGGAGGGACACAGCCCATTCCGCTCCCACTCTGCCCTTTGGAACACCAGACAACCAGACCCAGACCCAAGATCATCCCATCCGGGCACCCAGGCTGGAGGCTGCTGCTTCTCTGGGTGGGGCCGGCTGGGCCATGAGCTGGGTCTGGACATCTCCATCCCTCCTCCGGCTGGGCCTGTCCTCGGGGCGGCTGGAGGCTGACTTGGTGTGGCCGAGCTAGCCTGAACCCATCCCCGTTCTCCTTCACAGTGAGCAGGCTTCTCTGACTTTCAGGACAGTGGAGGGTTTTTCTCAGTCACTCTTCGAAGGGCTGTTGGACAGCGGAATGAGTTGCCCTGTTGTGATTGTTCTCGGAGGTCCCCCAGCCCTTCCACAGGCTGGGCCCTGTGCTTGCTGCTCACAGGGGCCCTGGGCAGAATGTGGGGCCGTGACAGGAATGCTGTTAGTGGGTCCCTGCTGCAGGAATGCTGCCCTGCAGCCCGCAGGAGCAGCTCAGGCTGTGGGCCTGGGGGGCTCTAGAATGAGAATAAATACGGAATTTGTTCTAGGCCCCGTGATTTGCAGCGGCTCAGGCACAAGTGTTCGTCAGTGTGAAGTGGACTGTGCATCTGTCTTATCCTGGCCAATTGCACAGTGGCCTCTGGAGTGGACCCTGGGTGGGCTGGGCTCCTGGCTGGTCCTCACTCTAAGTTGCCGGCCCGTCTTGGATGTGGGACTCATGTGCATCTGACACCTTGGGGGGTTGTTGGGAAGGCTCGGGGGGCCCCTTTCTGCTCTCCCTGCCACGTGTGGCCTGCCTGAACCCAGTGCAGCTGCGTGTTGGGGGTGGGGCGGCAGAGGGGAAGGAAGCAGCAGTGTGGCCATTTTCTTCTGGAAAGAACCTTCTCCGGGCAGTGACTCTGGGAGAGGAACATGGGGCAGGTTTCTCGAACATCCTTGTGTCCCTCATTTTGTCAACATCTACGGTGTCCGTGGGGCCCGAGCTCCTGAGAAGATCAGCCGTGGGAGCCACGTGAGCCGAGCGTTTCTGTGGCCCAGCACTGCTTGTCCTCTGGGCCCAGGCCTGCACCCTGCAGGGCATCCTCCCCTGGCAGGGGTCCCTCTGCCAGGTGTGCTGAGAGCAGGGAGCCCCACTGACCCCGTGGGATGTCCATCAATATAGAAGCGTTTTGGGTTTATTAACTATCTTTCCACGTGGTCAGTAAGGGTTTGCGCATTGATTGTGACTTGGCCAAAGGAAAGAGAGGCAAGAGGTCTTTATGATATGAACTAGTAAGGAGGGAATAAAGGCAGGAGGAGGTAACTCCCACTTGTCACTTTCTTTCCACCTGTCTGTTCCCACCCCCACCCCAGGGATCACCTGCTGGGTCACCCTGTATGCTGTGGAGGCCCTCCCTGCCTGCCCTTTCTCCTGTAAGTGTGACCCCCGCAGCCTGGAGGTGGATTGCAGTGGCCTAGGCCTCACCATGGTGCCCCCGGACTTGCCCGCTGCCACCCGAACCCTCTTGCTCTTGAACAATAAGTTGAGTGTCCTGCCAAGCTGGGCATTTGCCAACCTGTCCAGCTTGCAGCGGCTGGACCTATCCAACAACTTCCTGGACCAGCTGCCCAGCTCCATTTTCGAGGACCTGACTAATCTGACGGAGCTGCAGCTGCGCAATAACAGCATCAGGACCCTGGACAGGGACCTGCTGCAGCACTCGCCCCTGCTGCGCCACCTGGACCTGTCCATCAATGGCCTGGCCCAGCTGCCCCCTGGCCTGTTTGACAGACTCCCTGCTCTGCGCTCCCTGTCACTGCGCTCCAACCGCCTGCAGAGCCTGGACCGGCTGACGTTTGAACCCCTGGCAAGTCTGCAGCTGCTGCAGGTTGGGGACAACCCCTGGGAGTGTGACTGTAACCTGCGTGATTTCAAGCACTGGATGGAGTGGTTCTCATACCGAGGTGAGCACAGCCAGCCCTGCCTGGGTGTGAGGAACTGGGAGGGTCCCTCCTGGCCCAACACATTTCCTGGAGGCGGGGCGCTGACTCAGGCTCAGGTCGGGAAGGCGGTGGCCCTGCCTCTTCACCAGCCACGCTGCAGGGTCCCAGCCTCACCTCCAAAGGTCAGCAGGGCAGAGGAGCCAGGGTGCTGCTCTCCATCCCCCCACTGCACCCCTTTCTTCTCTGTGTCCCCTTCCCACTCCCTGCTTTCCTCTTCTCTTTTTCTTTTAGATTGACTCGTGGTAACTTGATCTCACTTTTGCAGGTTTCATGAAAGAACTTAGACACAGTATAATTTTTCTCTGCATCCCAGTAGGGATGGCTCTGGGATTGCCGGGCTTGGTGGAAGGAGGAAAGAAAGCCACCCTTGTTTTTCTGAACACAGCAATCTCTTAATTATCCACAGTTTCCGGACAGTGGCGTGAAATTTAAATCCACAGATAAAACCAAATTTTTATTTTGATGATGATCTCAACTCTCTCCCCCAAGAAATTTGCTACCAAAGCCTTAATAAGAAGCCAAGTGGGTTTGGTTTTACTTTCTTTTTCTTCTCCCTCTCGTTAACCGAGAAAGTTCGATAATGAGCTATGAACTGACTAAATGAAATGGGAGAGGAAGACAAAGAAGTAAGCGTAGTGGCTAAAAGTGCCAGATCTGGGCTTGATCTGTGGCCCTGCCACTTACTAGCTGTGTGATCTTGAGAAAGTCAATCAGTTTCTGTGTCAGTATCCTCATCTGTAAAATGGGGTGAATAACATACCTATCTCACAGAATCACTGTGAGGGTTAACTAGGCAACACATGTAAAGACTCTTTAAAAGTGCTCAACATAGCCCTGGCCGGTTTGGTTCGGTGGTTAGAGCATTGACCCGCGGACCAAAGAGTAGCGGGTTCGATTCCGGTCAAGGGCACGTACCTCGGTTGCGGTTTGTCCCTGGCCCTGGTTGGGGTTGTGTGGGAGGCAACCGGTCAATGTTTCTCTCTCTCTCTCTCCCCCACTCTATCTGAAGAGAAATAGAAAAAATATCCTCCAGTGAGGATTAAACAAAAATTTTTAAGTGTTTAACATAAAGTAAGCCCTCAATAAAACATATTTGTTCATTTGCTAGTAGTAGTCATGATACTAAATGGACTTAATAAGCTACAGTTTGGTGCCCAGCACGAAGTAGAAGTTCAGTGAATATGTTGAATGAATGAGCCCATACCACAGCTCTGTGAAAGGGATGCTCCATTTCCCATCAGTCTCACCCTGTCATTTCATACCCAGCCACAATCTCAGTTATTTGCACGATATTCTCATGTGTTAGCTATTAAAAACATTTTACATACTGTAAAGTGCCATAAAAAGCCAGTCACTGTGATAACTGCTCCCATTTTTGTGGGTGGGGAAACGGTAAATACTTGCATAGCACCCAGTTTACAAGTATCTTTCATGTATGTTATCTTTTTAATCCTCACAGCTAGTTGAGAGAGCCTCCTTATTTTACAGCCAAGAAAGCTAAGACTCTTAAGCAATTAAATATATTAAATAATTTGTACAAGATGACATAGCCTGGATTCACCCTCAGGCCTTTGGAGTAGGAAGATGAGGTTGCCACCTGTCAACACCCAGCTCCTGCCTACAGAAAGGCTGCCTGGACACATCGCCTGGATTAAGACTCGCTGCGGCCGCCCGGGCGGTCAGCATCACAGGCTGGGGTGTGAGCTAGAGGCCAGGTCTTCAGGCCCCGACAAGGTGCTATCCTAGGGATCGTCCTTGCCTTTTCATCGTCATCAGGAATGAAACTCTCAGCACAAAAGGGCATGGAATGGGAATGCGTATTCTCAGAAGTTTCGATAGTAAAGTTGGTGTCAACCTTGCACTTGTTCCAAAAAAAAAAATAAATAAATAAATCCTGGGCTGTTTTCATCAGCATCCTGGGAAAAGAGTGACGTCTACTGTACCCAGCAGCTGGGCTGGGAGAGGGGACGGGCAGTGAGGGAGTGGCCGTGGCCAAGTCCTGCCCCAGGCGTCCGTGGCCTGCATCCGGGTTTCCCTGGCTGACCCTGACTTCCCAGGGCACTGTCCGTGGTCCTCAGCTGCCCTTTCTCTTGCCTCCCGCGCTCTGCATCTCCATCCTCCCGTGGTGCAGCGTCGTCGTGGTGCCCCTGTGTACCCATCACTGGCCCTCACCCCATTAGCACTGGCCCCTCCCCCTGGCCCCCGTGGATCTTCAGGATTCCCTCCCAAGATGCCTCTGCACCCAGAGATACTGAAGTTGGGGTGCTCACGGGGCCATTGGATTGCTCTACAGAGGAAAAGTAAAACATTCTTGCCCAACCCTTTTCCTCGGTACCCCGAGGAGGTAGTCTTAGGCAGCCAAAAGGCCCTGCATGGAAGAGCGGTGGCCTGGCAGTGTCTTGGTTTGTGTCCTTTTTGTGAGGGATGGGATACTGTGTGGGCACGGTGCCCCGGGTGAGCAGGCGGGGGCAAGGAGAGGAGCGGAGCTGCATCTGCAGGGCTCCTGGCCCTCTCTGTGCCCTGACGCCCCTTCCCTAGCACCCCCATGAGTCAGCATCGTCTCAGCCTGTGGGTCAGTTTGACTCTGGAGTGAGAAGGCGTGGCTGAAATGGTGGCTGTGTGCTTCTCTGTAAACGGGAACCTACAGTATCCATTGCACATGGCTTTCATGGGTGAGATGTCTGTGCCTCCCCGACCGTGGTACTCGGCTCAATGGATGCTCGTGTCCCTCCTCCCTTCCTCTCCTGTCCCTGGGTCCCAGGACTGACTGCATTACCGATAGGAACGAGAACTTCTGGGCCTTCCATTTCTGGGTCCTGGGGTTTGGGAGAGGGAGTCAGCTTCTGGATGCCTGGTCAGCCTCTCCTTTTTTCTTGCCCAATGCAGGGGGGCGCCTGGACCAGCTTGCCTGCACCCTACCCAAGGAGCTGAGGGGGAAGGACATGCGCGTGGTCCCTATGGAGATGTTCAACTACTGCTCCCAGCTGGAGGACGAGAATAGCTTGGCCGGAATGGACAGTCCTGGGCCACCCTGCACCAAGGCCAGCCCAGAACCTGCGAAGCCCAAGCCAGGGGCCGAGCCGGAGCCGGAGCCCAGTACAGCCTGCCCCCAGAAGCAGAGGTACCGGCCGGTGAGCGTGCGCCGGGCCATCGGCACGGTGATCATTGCCGGGGTCGTGTGTGGCATTGTCTGCATCATGATGGTGGTGGCTGCCGCCTACGGCTGCATCTATGCCTCCCTCATGGCCAAGTACCACCGGGAGCTCAAGAAGCGCCAACCCCTCATGGGGGACCCGGAGGGCGAGCATGAAGACCAGAAGCAGATCTCCTCTGTGGCATGAGAGCCCAGCCCCACCTGGCCCAGGTAGGAGGGGCAAGGAGAGCACATGGAGATGCTTCAGGAAGGCTGGCCCTTCTTTCTGTCACAGTCCCCACTCCAATTTACCAATTTACCCCCGGCCCTCTAGCAAACCAGCCACAGGGGGACTTCCAGTCTCTGTGGAAGCTGCCATTAGCAGAAGGCTCCTGCAGACGCCCCTCTCTGAGCCGTCAAGTCTCTGGAACATCCGGGGGTCTCCCTGAGCCTCTGGCCATAGGGAAGAAAGAATGTGTGTACAAGGGGAGGCTTCCGACCGAGCACTCCTGTTGCCCTTCCTGTCCTGGCTGTAGTCACAGCTTGGTGACTCTCCATACCTCTTGCTCAACCCCCCTCATCTGCATTTAGGGGCTGGGGAGGAAGTAATAGGAGGGCCAAGGGTCCATTTCTGTGACTCTCTTCTAAGCCAGGAAGATATTCTGAACCACCTTTCAGTGTGAAAGTTGAGTCTGGCTTTCAAGAGCTGGTACTAACGTGGTCACCCCAACACTGTCACCGGGGCTAGCACCTAGGAACATAACGCTGTGACTGTAACACACTGCCGTGGCTGAAGCCATTATGTCCCCCTATCTGCTAGAGGCCACACCGACCACACTGCTCCTGGATTCAGTAGTTCACTCTCACACGAACTCATAGCATCACCAGCGAAAACGCATCCACTGGAAAAACCCCACACATGCGCGCACACAGAAGCACATGGAGACGGAGGTCAGAGAACTCGGGGAGCAGAAGCGTGTGTCCCCTGGGATGTCTAACCCTCAGAACACAGAGCCTTTTGCTTGCTGACTGCAATCTTCTCAAGTCGACAGGGGGAGAAACCCAAACCGACAACACAGGATGCCTTTGAGATCCTCTAAAGTGGGCCAAGTGCATGAGCCTGCCTGTCACCATGGTAACCCTCTCACCTGTCCTGCTGGGTTTTCCAGGGACACCAGCCCGGAGGCCTTGGAGCTGCAGCGCCTACGGATGGCAGCCTCCAGAGAGCCCAGGGAGCCCAAGCGCATCGTCACTGCCAGCCCCTGGGACACCCACCCGCTCCACTCCTGCAGCCTGCAGTCCAGAAACCGTCGCTCTGCACCTCACACCCCTCCGTCCTCAGCACCTCTGGGCCATGCTCTGTGGGTGGTGGCATCTTGGGAAAGCAGGTGGCCTTTGCTGGAGCTCACCGCCTGCCAACATCTCCCGCACAGGGCCTGCCGCCCTCTGTTCAGGGCCTCCGGGGGTGGGGCTCCCTTTCCCACGGTCTGGTCCGCTCAGTCTGGCTCCCCAGAGTTTTTGTCACACCTGGACTGGGCTCCAAAGCAGAGCAGGGGCCAGGGGTCCTGCTTGTTCTTTGCCTGAACCTGCACCACAGGGGCAGAGACACCTGCTTGCAGGGCTGTGGGAGGGGCAGTGAGGAGAGGGCTGTGTGGGGTCCGGGGGTCACTGGTCTTTTCTCTAGCTCTGCCCACCTCATGAGTCTGCTCGGGTGAGTGTTAGGACTTCCTCTGCTGGACACTGCTTCTCCCATGACCCACAGAGGGGTGGAGGCATTGGGCTGGGCTCTGGCTCTAACACTGGCAGGGGTGCTCACTGGTGGCCCAGGAGGAGGTTGCCAGGACATCAAGGCCCAGGGTGTGAGGAAGGACAGGGCAGGACAGGGCAGCCCAGCTCACCTGGCGTTCCTCAACCCTTCTAGCTCATAGAAGGGCATAGTCGGGAGAGGGTTTGGGGAGGGGCAGAGTTGCCTTTGAGAAGGCCATTCTCCAGCAAAGGGGTGCCCAGGTGCCCCAGCAAGGCTGCTAAATGCCCTCCCTGGGGTGGGGGCACAGTCTTCCTTCCTTTGGTTTGCCAGCTGAAACCAGATTTAGGAATTTCCTAAGGGGAATGGGGGAGGGGTGGGCATTGTCAGTGGTGGTATCTTCATCTTGAGACAGAAGATTTTTAAAGGCAAAATTATATTTCTGGTTTGTTGTTTCAGAAGATCAATAAAGACTGTATTTTCCTATGTACTTCCTAGTTTCCTTGGGGGCAGGGGATGGGGTGCTGAGGGAGGGGCTCCTGGCCCCCGCCTCTCAGGCAGAGGTCTCCCCGAAGTCCAGAGCTCCGTAGACAGGCGGGAGCCTCCCTCCGTGGCCTCGCCGGGGTGCCACTGGGAGTGAAGGGCCGAGCTCGGGGTTCGAACGGGCCTGTCCCTGAGCACAGCAGGCTACGAGAGCCGCAGGCCGGTTCCCCTGGGCAGCAGCCCGGCACTGCTCCGGGCTCTGTGGGTGCCCATCCGCCCCGCCTGAGGGAACCCACCCTGCAGGAGGGCACGCCATCCGCCCAGAGGACCCCACTGTGTAATGGGAGGAGGGGGAGGGCGTCCTAAGAGCGTGAGGGGAGTTCTCTGCTGACTGGGTGGGTGAGGTTTGCTGACGTGAAGGAGGCCCCCGTTCCACCTGTTCCATCTTAACCTTCAAGACTGACTCCAGGGACAGGCAGATGACACTCTGTGCTTACACACAGGGTCTCTCCTTAGGGCTCAGCAGGCAGGGAATCAGGATTACGGACTGGAGGGCTGGGGGCGGGGGGGCGGTCAGGAGAGGAGGTGAGGAAGGATGTGAGGCCTCTGGGGTTGCTTGTTCACCCCAAGCCCGAGTGACCCTCCCCCAGCCTCAACTGGCCTCTGGCTGACTGAGCCTACTGCGCGATGTGGTTCGTTAGTCTTCAGAGACCACGAAGGAATTTTCTCCTTCCCAGCCTCCCTTGGGGTGATACTCAGCACAGGTTGAAAGGTCCCCATTTTTGGAGCTCAGCTGGACTCCTGGCAGAACTGGGCTGTTTCCCTTTCTAGGTGGTGATAACTGGGGGGTGTTGGCCCCCTGTAGCCCTAACAGCAGACCTGTGTGCCAAGGACAGGGCCCCTCACAAGGGTGGCACAAGTCTGGGCAGTGCATAATGCCATGCTAAGTGGGCACACGGCCTTCGGCCAGGCCCGTTCACATGTGGGCAGATCTGAGGAGAGGAGCCTCAGGCAGCTCCAGACGGGGCCCAGGACGCAAAGGCCTCTGCCTGGGGGGGTGAGGGGGCTCGTGTGTGCTGCAGGACATGTGCCGGGGACACACACCTGCAGATTGCGGGGCCAGCGTCATTCCGTTGTCACTATTTCCTGACGAGGGCTTGGAGGGCACGGAGAATTGAAAATAGATCCTGACTAAAAAGTTAGGTTTATAGGAATTTGGCAAGAATTGTTGATAAGTCCCCTGCTCAGAGATGAAAAGAATCCCTCCGCTTCATCCGCGGCTCTGTGGGAACCCTGGGCGCTGCGCGCACGTCTGCTGGGCCGCGGGGCCGGGCGCCCTCCGCACCTGCTCGGTGCACAGCACCCCTGCTCCCCCGGGGCTGGAGCTCACATGCGCACAGCGCGTCTCCCGAGGGATGAAGCTGCCTGCCCTGCCTTGAGCTGCAGGCTCCCACTGGCCCCAGGACCAGGGAGCCTGAGCCATGGGCCAGGGAGAGGAAATTAAAAGAGGACCCCCCCCCCAAATAACTGAAGTGTAAGGTCTCCAGTGCCTCATCCGTTTCCTGTCACATCCATGCACCCCACAGCGTCAGGGGGGTTGTCTGCAGTGCGTTAAGCCAGAGGCACCAGGACACAGTTTCTATGGCAACCCCTCACAGCTCCAAATCCGCCCTGAGTTAAAAATGATTTCAAATAATTGGAGAGTGCAGGATCGCACAGCCGGAAGCCTGGTCCTGGGTCCCTTCTCCTTCCCAGACTCTCGGGTGTGCCCACCGCTCGGAGGGAGCAGGACAGGCAGACTCAGCTGGGATCACGGAACAGTTTTTGTTTTGTTTTGTTTGTTTTTTTACAGAACAGTCTTTAGGGAGACAAGTTTGGGGTAAAAATTTGGCCTCGAAATGGGCTTGGAATTAGCCTTGGATTCAGAAAAAAAAAGGTGGCAGAGACAGCCCGGGTGCCTTCCAAATGTCTTGCTGAGCACCCTGAAGACTATCGTGATGCAGGTGTTTCCTGGCATGGGTGCTGAGCAACCTCAGACCAGGTCACTGTCCCCCACCTCGTATTCCAGGCGGAAAGTGGCCCAACAGCTTGACGCAAAATGGAGACAGCGTTGGACCATCTCAGCCTGATCCCCACCCTGCTCCTCTCTCCCCTTCGCCCGGACCAGCCTGCCCGCCCCGCCCCACTCCAGCTGCCCTGTCCTTCCACGTGGCTGAGGGGCCCCTGGGAAGCAGGGCAGGGGCCTGGTCCAGGGAGGCATGACGGCAGTGCTCCAGCACACACTGGATCCCACCACTTCTCCAAGCACAGCCGAACCCGAGACATGGAAGCCGAAACCAGGATGTAGAAGCTTCATCACACAGTCCTGGTAGCTCCCGGATAATGAGACAGAGATGCCTGGGGCCTTTTCAGGTTCTAAGAAACTACAGAGTCTCGGGAGCTTGTGAGGGTCATTGGGTGCTCTCTTCACATTTGAGGCAAATTGCAACACAGGAGGGTGAACCTGGGCCTTACAGAGAGGTGATCCGAGTTCAAATTCTAACTTCATTAATTATGAGCAAATAACTTTCCTGCGTCTCAGTTTCTTTATCTGTAAAATGGAGCCCAAAGTCTAGGCTTCACTGGATCAGCCTAAGGACTGAAGGAGCGTGGGAAGCAGATTCCCAGCTGCCTGGCACATGCTGAGCACACATGTTGAACTCCTACTCTAGGATCTGAGTCACAGCGCCGCTCTTTTCTGAGGGACTCCGCCCGAGGCGGTGGAAGGGGAATCTGCATGCCGAGGGATGGAAAGGAGGTCAGGGTTGCAGTCTCTGTCCTGTGTGAGCTTCAGCACATCTCTTAACCTCTCTGGGCTTCATTTTACTCACTTCATAAATTCTTTTCGATCTACGGTTTTACAAACGAAATGGCGTGGGAGGACTCCACTCCCCTCAGTCCCACATTTCACGGTGAAAAGGTACAGCCGAGGGCCGTGGCCCCTGCAGGCCATGGGCAGGGGCAGTGAGCCTTCTTCCTGACATGGACTCACAGCCTCCCAGCCTCAGCAGCAGAGGGCAGCTCCTACCTGCAGCGATGGCCGTCTTCTTGTCCACGGTCACGGCTACAGCTGTGCTCGCTGTGACCACCCCCGGCTCACCCGGACCTTCTGGGGAGACAGAAATCGCAAGTCACTGTCTCACAGCTGGGGAAGAGCAGTGGCTGGGGAGGTAAGAAGATGAGTATCAGTACCAGGCAAGGGTAGCCCTGGAATAACGGGGGGTCTTGGAGGAAGTTGTTGCTGTGTGGGCTGTTACCACCAACCCCTGGTCTCGGCGGAGGGCCCCTTTCTGTGCAGATCTGAACCTGCCAGAGAAATGTGTGTGGCCGTGGGCATGGCGCAATGTGGCGCTGTCAGTGTCACTGACCCTGTGAGTTAGCTCTGTCTCCGGGCAGCAAACCTGTCTGCTGGCTGCAGTCTCATTTGAAGTCGGGGATCCTGTTGTGACCGTCCTCCTGACACGTCCTACCCAGAACAGTTGTGTTCCACCAAATGACTTTTTCTAGCAGAAGGACAGGCTCTGTTCCAGGATTCGGTGGTTGCAGATCCTGGACTGTCCTTCATCAGTCACATGAGCCAGGGTGACCTTGACAGTCGCTTCAGGAAGCCAGACGCCAGGGCTGCACCAGGCTCAGAAGGCTGGCTGGGGCTGGCTGGGGCTGGCTGGGGCTGGCGCGTCCGAGGCGCTCCATAAATCCTGGCTGTCGGTGGCCCACCACCACCACCACACCGTCATGCAGCTACATCTTTCTCTGGCTTTGCAGCTGGTCACGGCACTTCTAGGACACTCTGCCAGGCTCCTGAGGGCAAGGGTTTTTTTCCCGTTGTTTTCCCACCTCTTTTAGGAATCAGGTCACCATAGGTGCAGAATATTGGTGGAGCTTCAGCTCTACGTTAAAACAGAGCTTCCTGGTCCTGAGCTGGTGCAGGCTAGTACATGACCTTGGGCTTCTTAATTTTCACCCGTCCATGCACCTGGATTAGCTTCCGAAAGCACTCTTGTCTACCAGTCAAGTTCCTCTACTTTACATCCCAAGGAAGGGGCAACATTTTATCATGTGCTGTCTTGTTAGAACATCATTTTATGAAATGTTGAAACAAATGGGTCATGAGAATCCTGTGGGGTGATTGTTATTACGGTGTCGGTTGAAATAGAACTTAAATTAACCACTGGTTTCTCTTACCTGCTATTTTGCTAAGATTACCCATCCCACCTTGCTGTATGCAATCAGACAACCCACAGAAATTTAAAACTACTCAGATTCTAGGAGCTTACAATATGTGAGGTTGTCCTCGATTGTAGGGATTTGCCAGGATGAGGCCGCAAGGGACCACGACAGACAGAGAAGTTGGCTTCTAGAAACGCCTGGAAGGTGCTGATGGGGCTGCCCCCCTGCGGCTTTGTCCAGGCCCGTGGGCGGCCTTCCAGGACAGAACTCCTATTGCCCGGGTGCTCTACAGGCTTGTGGGAAACAGCGCGTGAGGTACGGGGCCCTCAGGACAGTCTCTGGGACATCAGGAATTTCAGCACCTGGGCCACCTCCTGGGGTGAATGAGCAGGTGGGGCCAGGCCTGGGGCTGCCCGGAAGGACCAGGTGGGCTGTGGGAGCGGCAGTGACAGGCCTGAGCCTCGGGCACTGGTGAGACTGCCTGGCCGGCAGGTTTCTCGGGTGCTGGGCAGAGCTCGGCCCACTGGGCCCAGGCAGGGGGCCGCGGAGTCCGCCCGGACCGCAGAGGGAAGCCTCCACTCACCTGCACGGACTCCTGCCCCCTTAGGGCTCAGCCTCCCCTTAAAATAAAATTGTTGTTGCTGTTCTCTTTGGGGAGAATGGGAGTGTGCAGAGGTGTCTGTCTCCAGGCACATGCATGAGCGAGGGTGTGAAAAAGGAGTCCCTCTTTTTGGGTTACCAGCCACCTCTCTTCTCTCGCTCAGTTCCCACCCACCCGCCCTCCTACCTCACCGCCACAGAAGCTCCCCAGCAGCCAGCAGTCTGGCCCGTGACAACCCCGGCAGGAGCAGCACCGTCCTGGGCTGGGTCCCGTGGGAGCCCCTCCGTGGGGGGCCCTCGGTGCTGCCGGAGGGGGACCAGGAGGGACCTGTCTGAGCGCGCACGAGGGTGACAGCGCCCGGTGCCCTCCCTGCCTGCTGCCCTCAGAGCGAGAGCCTGACTGCGGTGGGCAGACCTTGTTTCAGAGGGGCTCCAAGGCCCCCGAACTGAGGGGTCCTGGGCGAAGCACAGAACCTCTCTGAGCCGCAGTGTCTCCCTGGGCAAAGAGGGGAACTACAGCGCCCACCGTGCAAGGCAGTGCAGAGAAATGTGTTACGTGTGGAGAAGCGGTTTATAAAGCACAGGAGTGATGATCAGGTGGGCGGACAGCGGAGGATGGGGCGGGCTTCAGCGCCAGGTGCAGAAGCCGCCCAGAGGGCGCAGAGCCCGAGGGAGCCTGGGCCTCCCGGCTGTCAGCTCCGGGCATTTCTCCCCCAGGAAGCTGGAGGGAGGTTTCAGTGGAAGTGGTGGCCAGAAGGGTTTTGGTGGGGACACCTTGGAGGTGAAGTGCAACTCCTGGTTCCAACCAACCCCCAGCCCTCCTTCCTTTCAGAGGGTTCCCATCCCCTTCCTCCTCCCCCCTCCCCCTCCCCACCCCCTCTCCTCCTCCTCCTTCCCCTTCTCTTCCCCCCTTCCCCTTCCTCCTTCTTCCTCCTCCCCTCCCTCTCCCTGCCCCTCGATCCTGGGCTGACTCTGACCCTGGTGTGGATACTTTCTAGTCCCCCTCTGCTCCCCCACACTGGCTCAGGCCCCCGGGTGACCTGGAGGAGAACTTGCTCCCCCAGACCCGAGCTCTGGGCCAGTCCCCCACCTCTCTAGGCCGCAGTCTCCTCACGTGTAAACCAGGAGTGTGAGGGGCCCTTTCTGTTCTAAACATTCTGCTATTTTCTTGGTGCTGTTAATTTTTCTTTATGGTGCCATTTTTCAGAGTGGGGGCTGGCGGGTGTTCAGAGCCTTCCTGGTCCTTGGACTAATAGGGGTTTCCTGGCTTGGTCCATGGGGCCCAACCTTGGCTGCCCTGCCTGACCCTTTAGCCCCCCACAGCCTGCCAGGGGCAGGTGCCCCCTGTTACAGGGAGTTTCTGAAGAGCAGCCAGGAGCTCAGTGCTGCCCCTGAGCCCCCGGGAGTGGAGCCAGGCTGCTTTCCCTGCCTGGGAAGAGCCGGGGGGCAGCGGGGCAGCGGGACGGGCACCCAGATGCCCGTGTTCCTCTCACCTGGCTGGTGTGAGGGCCTTTCAAAGACACGCAGATGTTTACAGATAGAAGACCCTCAGAGAGTAACTTGTGCGATATCCTTCCATTTGGAATTTGGGCTAGAATCCAGCTCTTCTTGATTTTTGGTCAAATCTCTTTCCTTTGCTCCATGCTGGAGTTTTAACCGCCAACTGTGACTGCTGGCCAGGGAACACAGTGACCCGACCTGTGCCGGGTCAAGGCCCCAGCGGGCTTCCTCAGTCCCACGCGTAGCAGGCGCAGGCAGGAAGGGAGCCCGGGGGTCTGGACGCCCTGCATTCTGCTCCACATCACCAAGAGCACGGGAGGAGGGAGGCCCTGGGGTGGCCCGGGCCGGGAAGGGTGCGGACTACCTGGTCCCTCTGCTGGGCGGAGGTTGAAGACAAAGCTGCCAGGGGGCTGCTCCGCGGCCTGGCGGTACCACAGAGGGAAGTGGTCCATGGTGAACACGCTGGCCTTGTCTTCGGGGGTCAGGAACTCCCTGCAAGGAGGAAGATTGTGGTTTCTCCCTTCACGTCTGCGAACAGGTTCATCCCTTCCCCTTTCCCGTCCACAGTCAGCGTGGCTGGGCCAAGGGAGCGCTTCCCCTCTGCTTCCGTGGACTTGCAGGTAGAAAGCATCAGCTCCTCATTGGTGGCGCCCTAGACAGTGTCCCCAGTACTTCTCTCTTCCAGAGTCAAATGCTGCTGCACCAGGAGGACACATTAGCAACTAGAAGAGGTTTGAGGCCTGCATTTTGAAACAATACTTTCCATTTCTATGTAAACTGCTTTGCCTGCGGGGGTTTATTTCTTCAGGATATAGCCTGATTTCTTTTTGTCTGGCTAATTAGCATGTCTGAGTGAGGAAATTGTATAGTCACCTCCATCATCAAGCTAATACGGGAGCATAAATCCCCTCCAAACGGTTACTTCCAAAGCCATTGCCTCTAGGTTTTAGAGTGTATTATGAGCTTTCTTTTTTTGAGCGGCTTTATCTTGCTAATTATGGTTTAGCATTCCCGGAACACAGGGAACACAGACCGGCGCGGGAGGGGGTGCTGGGCCAGGAGCAGAGTGGGAGGCAGGGAGGGGCCGGTGGGACTAGGAACGGCCTGTGGATGATCCACAGGGTGGATCCCCCTCAGGTGCGTCCTTGAGGTGAGATGTTAGGACTGCCTGGCTCACGTGTCCCAGAAGCAGACCTGCCTTGTCTGGTGTCACGGGTTAGGAGCCCCCGAGTTGTGCAGTGTATGTGAGGCTGTTTCTGGAGGCCGGGGTCATAATCAGGACGGTCTGCCTGTGAGATTTCCCTCTTCCACCCCAGACGGCTGAGGGAGGATGCAGGGAGGGCCCGAGATGCTTTTTCCCTTCTCACTGTCAGACGCATTCACTTGTCCAACCTTGGCCGGACAAAGGCATGTGTGAGTCCGGCCGGTGTGGCTCAGTGGTTGAGCGTCGACTCATGTACCAGGGGGTTGCCTGTTCGATTCCCGGTCAGGGCACATGCCCAGGTTGTGGGCATGATCCCCAGTGGGGCCATGCAGGAGGCGGCCAATTGATGTTCTCTCTCATTGATGTTTCTGTCTCTCCTTCTCACTTCCTCTCTCTCTCAAATCAATAAAGGGGGAAAAAAAAGACATGTATGATTTTCTGGTTGGGGTGAAATCTAAGGGGTGAGGAAAGTTTCCCACACTGTTCGAGGCCCAGGGTGAACCCACAGTCTACCCGCCAGTCTAGACCCCGGAGCTCTCTGCGTGTCTCTGACAGGCCGTGGGAAAGGGCAGCAGGCAGCATGTTCCTCTGTTTCCACTTCGGGGGAGCGAGGGGAGGTGTGAGCGGGAAGAGCAACTTCGTGTTTTCCTGGAAAGCCGGGTTCTAGCAAGATGGACCCGAGAAGAAGCTCAAAGAGGGCGCTCACAGCTGAGCGCTGGGACTCAGAGAGGAGCCGCCCCTGGGCGGGAGGTGAGGACAGTGGGGTCCGGTCTGGAGCCCCTCAGCTCTCCTCTAGTTGCCTATTGGAGCCTGGTGGTCTGAGAGCCGGGGGTGGGGGGGCTCTGCTGGCCCCTCCCTCCCAGGGCCCTTCTCTGGGCTCCGCTCTCCCGTTGCAGCAGTGCCCAGTGGGAGGGCCCGGCTGGCTGGTCCCTGGCAGAGCAGGCCTCTCCCAGAGCCGGGCTTTGCTGGGAGCAGGGTTGCCCGGCCTCAGGAGGGCTGACGTGTTGTCAGGAGGACGTGTTGTCAGGACCGGCCCTGCACACCGCACCACCCTGTAGGACGGTCAGTGGCATCCTGCCTCTACCACTGGATGCCATTTTCTATAACCAAAATGTCTCCAGACATTGCCCAGTGTCCCTGGGGTGGGGGTGGGTGCAAATCACCCCGCGTGGAGAATTGCTGGCTTAGGGGATGGGGAAAGTGTCGAGAAAGGAGGGAACACAGCCAGAAGATTCAGCCTGTTGCAGAGACCTGCCCCAAGGGAAACAGTTTCTGGGTTCCCCTCTGTGGAAGTGAACCTCTAGAGGACTAACCCTCCCAACTCCAAGGTCTCGGGGGCTCTCTTGCTCCACTGGGCTGCCCCCTCTTCTTTTGGGGACACCTCCAGGATGAGTCCAAGCCTGGGTGGACAGGTTACTTTCTGACCCTCCCACTGTAAACTCCAGCCCTTCCCCCTCCTTGCCTCTAGGAGTCCACGCCCTGCCTGCCCACGTGCCCAGGGGCAGCCTACAGGGGTCCTGCTCTGGCACCAGCACACTCACTTGTTGGAGATCTTCTCAGAGCCCACGAACAAGCTGCTTCTGAGGAGGCCGGCCCGGGTGCCCAGGAAAGCCATGTCTACCATGCGCTCGGACTCCCTGTGAGGAGACAGGGCAGGCGTCACCACTGGGCAGCACAGAGCAGGTCCAGGAGGAGGGCACAGGGAGCCAGGGCAGGCCCCGAGGCCCGCCAGCACCTGGCCCATCTGACTGGGGGTGGGGCTCCCCTGGCAACACCCCTCTTAACAATGGGGTCCCCTTGTCCTCTGCTTCTCTGCTTCTTCAGATCTAGCTCCTGATTTGTCCACTCTGTTGCTGGGGGAGTGGGCTCTGGCAGACAGAAGGAACTCAGGAAGAGTAAGTTCTCAGGACAGGCACATACACAGCACCTCACAGTTCCAAAGCCCTTTCATCTATTCCCCTTGTTATGAAATGTCAAAGGAGGAACGGGCACTGCCCCGTCACCCCAGCGATCCTGCTGGACTTCATAACCTTGCCAACGGATTTGAAAACAAATCCACTGGCCAGCTGGAGTGTAACTATTTTTTCCGTGATCTCAAAACCGTATTGATATGACGATGCACCAGGGTGGCAGTCAGCACCTCCTTTGTAGTGTTATTTTTAATTTCAGCCTTACTGAGGTGTAACTGACATAAAATGGTAAGATATTTTACGTATATGTTGTCCAGGTTTGCTATATGTCTGCATTACGAAAGGATTCCCCCACGTCTATCACCTCCCGCAGTTACTGTGTGTGTGTGGGGACACTCAGGCTCTGCTCTCAGCCCATGGCTGTCACAGGACCGTGTTATCACTGTAGGTGCCATGTTTGACATGAGATCCTCAGCCCTCGTGCACCTCGTAACTGAGAATCTCTACCCTTTTACCAACCTCCCCTTAACCTCCCCCCGCCCCTCTCAGCAACCACATTTCTACTCTGTTTTTGTTTCATTAAAAAAAAAAAGGTTTTATTAATTTTTTTAGAGAGAGAGGAAGGGAGAGAGATAGAAACATCAATGTGAGAGAGAAACATTTATTGGCTGCCTCTAGCACGCCCCCTCCTGGGGATGGAGGCAGCAACCCCGGCATGTGCCCTGACTAGGAATTGAACTGGGACCTCTCAGTCCATGGGATGACGCTCAGTCCACTGAGTCACACCAGCCTGGCTCACTTTTTGTTTTTAAAGATTGCACATGATGGTGTATTTCACTTAGCTGCTAGGCTGGTGATTTATTTATTTATTTTAAATTTGAGCCCAGTTAGCCACCAGGAGCCCTTCTCAGTAGGTATTTTTTCTCAGGGTTCACACCATCAGTGGTGCCAACTCTCGCTATCTCATGTTTTTGATGGCATTCCAACAGGTGTGAGATAATCTCATGTGGTTTTGGTTTGCTTCTCCCTGATGATTAATGATGTTGTACCTGCTGGTCATGCGTATATCTTTGGAAAGATGTCTATTCAGGTCTTCTCTCCCTTTAGAAAAACAATCAAAAATTTTTTCTATTGAGTTGTGTGAGTTCTTTATTTTGCATATTAACCCCTCATCAGATATACAGTTTACAAATATTTTTTTCCATTCAATAGGTTGCCTTTTCATTTAGTGATTGTTTCCTTTGCTGTGTGAAGCTTTTTATTTTTATTTATTTATTTTATTGATTTTAGAGAGAGAGGGAGGGAGAAGGAGAGAGACAGAAACATCAATGAGAGAGAACATCAATTGGCCGCCTCCTGCATGCCCCCCACTGGGGATCTGGCCCACAACCAGGGTATGTGTCCTGACCAGGAATCGAAACTGTGAGCTCTTGGTGCATGGGTTGATGCTCAACCACTGAGCCACACCAGCCAGGCTGTGTGAAGCTTTTCAATTGCGTGTAGTTCCACTTATTAATTTTTGCTTTAGCTTCTTTTGCTTTTCGTGTCAAATCCAAAAAATTATCGCCAAGATTGATGTCTAGGAGCTTACTCTCTCTGTTTTCTTCTAGTAGTTTTATGGTTTCAAGTCTTACGTTCAAAATGTTTAATGCATTTTGAGTTGATATTTGTGATTGATGTAAAATAGTGATCAAGTTCCATTTTTTGCCTATGGCTATCTAGTTTTCCCAGCACTATTTGTTGAAGAGACCATCCTTTACTTATTGTATATTCTTGCCTCTTTTGTCATAAATTATTTGACTATATATGTGTGGGCTTATTTCTGGGCTCTCTATTCTGCTCCATTGATTTATGTGTTTGTTTTATGCCAATATCTTTCTGTTTTGTTTACTAAAGCTTTGTAATATAGTTTGAAATCAGGAAGTATGATGTCTCTGGCTTTGTTCTTTCTTAAGATCACTTTGGCTATTTGGGGCCTATTGTTGTTTCATACAAATTTTAGGATTGTTTGTTCTACTTCTGTGAAAAATGCCTTTGGAAGTTTAATAGATATTGCATTGAATCTATAGACTGCTCTGGCTAGTATGGGCATTTTAACAATATAAATTCTTCCAATCCATGGGCATGGACTATCTTTCCATTTATTTGTGTCTTCAGTTTCTTTCTTCAATGTCTTATAGTTTTCAGTGTACAGGTCTTTCACCTCCTTGGTTAAATTTGTTCCTAAGTATTTTATTTTTTGATGCAATTGTAAATGGAATTGTTTTCTTAACTTGTCTTTCTGATAGTTTGTTATTAGTGTACAAAAACTTATTTTTGTATATTGATATTGTATCCTGCAACTCTACTGAATTTGTTTATTAGTTCTAGCAGATGTGTGCATGTGTGTGTGTGTGTGTGTGTGTGGAGCCTTTAGGGTGTTCTAAATATAATATCATGTCATCTGTAAATAAAGTTAGTTTACTTCTTTCTTTCCAATTTGGATGCCGTTTCTTTTCCTTTTCTTGCTTAATCTTTTGTCTAGGACTGCTATTATTATGTTGAATAAAAGTGGGAAGAGTGGGTATCCTTTTCTTGTTTCTGATCTTAGAGAAAAAACTTTTAGCTTTTTTTTTTTTTACCACTGAATATACTTTGGCTGTGGGCTCCTCATATATGACTTTATTTAATCACTTCTAACTTTATTAATATTCTTGCTCCTAGCCCAATTTATTGCAGGCTATTACCCAATTTCTCTCGGCGCCTGGATTGGTGTTTTTGGTGAGTGTATAAGGTAGCCAGTACCTAAAGCACTGACAAAGGGAAGAGCTTTTTCATCAAAGCTCAGCTGTGTGGCTGCTGGGGTTTCCCTAATGAATTTCTGTGATGAAGGCTGCACCATATAATGTCAACTGATAGTACCTGGTGCTGGATTATAACACTTGGTCTACAGTCTGGAAAATCACTGAGGAAGGGATCTGGAGATGCAGATGGGGCTGCCCTCTTCAGTGTTGCAGAGACCAGACTCTGGGGGTGAGGCCTGGGTGCCTGTGTATCTTTAAAAATCTCCTTGATGCATTTACTTGTTCAAAAGCAGAGAGAATTGTCTAATAAGACCTCTGCATCCATCCTCAGCGTCAACAGTTCCCAACCCATGGCAATCCTGTGTCTTCTGCGCCTCCCCAACCCTAACTAGATTATTCTGAAGCAAATCCAAGAAATCATTTTGTTAGTAAATACTTGAATTTCTATCATTAAAATATAAGGAATAAAAAATCCTCAGTGCCATTATCACACCAAATAAACCCTCACAATTCTTTAATGTTTAAATAATATAATAGCTTCGTGAATTTTAAAAATTTGGTTAAATCAGAATCTGACTTAGGGTCCGTGGTTGGTCTCTGTTCCTCTCTCTCTCTCTGATATTTATTAAACTGTAATTCATGTGCCATACAATTCATTCATTTAAAGTATAAAATTAAGTGGTTTTCAGTATTCAGAGCTGTGGAAACACCACCACAGTCAATTTTAGAACATTTTCATCTCCCCCTTAAAGCAATCTCATACCCATGAGCAGTTCTTTTCAGTTTTTTATTATTTACTTATTTATTTATTTTGGCACACGCCCTTAACGGGAACCGAACCCGGGACTCTCTGGTCCACAGGCCGATGCTCCAACTGCTGAGCCAAACCAGCCAGGGCTCTCTCCAGCTTTTTAAAACCTTTTTTCTCCGCTTTCCCTCCCTCCTTTTATTTTCCTTGCAATTCATTTGCTGATCCAGGCATTTGTCCTGTAGAGTTGGCCTGGAGTGGCTGGTGGCGTGCGATGCTGTGGTGTTATTTAGCATGTTCCCTTGTCCCCTGTGTTTCCTGTGAACTGGCAGTTAGGCCTTGGGCCCGGCTGGACTCTGGTCTAAATTCATCAAGACGCACACACTATCCGATTGACTAGGGGTTGCAAAGTAGGGCTATTTCTCGTCGATATTTGGTTAGCCTGAGGTACAATTTGCACAGAAGAGGCAGGATGAATCATTGGGTCTCTTTTTATTTACCAGTTTTTAGAATAATGAGTTGGTTTCCTCACTTCTTCCAATGATGGCCAATAAGGCCTTTCCCCCCTCAGGATCACTACGAGTACAGGGTTGTATACATATTTAATGTGTTTTGCTCCATTGCAGTTGTTATGACTTTTGCTGCTCTGATTGTCCCACCTTTGACCAGTGAGAGCCTCTTCAGGTGGCTCTGGGGTCCTGTTGACACAACGTCATTCGTCTTTGGTAACTTCTCGCTTCCTGGTCTGATGAGATAGTCCCGATAATTTTGTACATTTCCTGCCCCTGTCCTGGAATCAGACATTTCTCCAAGGACCACTCACTCATTTTAATGAGGACTTTTTAAGTGGACATTGAAAGTTCACAGTATGGATCTAAAGTGTCATGAGGTTGGTCCTGGCAGAGGACAAAGCTGGGATACTCTTTCTGTTTCTTTCAGAGAAAATACCTCATGAGCTCACCGATATTTCCAATTATATTTAGCATCACATCTAAAAATTTTGCGTCTCTTTCCTCTTCAGCTGAGAATGTTGGTTCCTAATGACATTAACATAATATTATTTGCTTTATCAATCAATATTGTTTGGGTATAACAGTGTCAATATTGTTTCTAGCAATATGGTTATTGAACACAGTTTAAGATTTTATTTATTTAGTGTTTCCAGTTCTGTGTTCTTAAGTCCCTTGAAAGAGTTC